CTCGAGCCCAGCCACTCGAGCCGCACACGTCCATCGCACCATCACATCATGGACAGCTCTCCCGCCTCGCCTTTGGCCCCCAGGGATCCCAGCTCCCCTGAATCTTCGATCGGCGAACAAATCGCCACTCTACAGGCCCAGCTTGCCGCTCTGCAGGCCTCGCAACCCCGCCGTCGCCGCAGCCGCCGCACCCCCGGCCGTCACCGTCGTGCCGGGGAACGCCGCCACCGCATCCAAGGTCGTGTTTCCCAAGCACGCTCGTCTGGACGGCCCCAAGTCGTTCACCAACTGGTTGCGTCAACTTCCGTCTTGCACTCCCGAACCAGGTTCGTGGTTACGTTCTCGACGGTGTCGTTCCCCCGACCTGGACCGCCGACCAGCTTGCCGCACGTGACGACGCCGCCCGGGGAAATCATCGTTGGCTCTATCGACTCCGCCGACGTATCGGCCACCCTCGACGCATCCCCAGCGACGACTGTCGGCACCGCGCATCTTTGCCGTCTCAAGGCTCGTTTTGCACCGGACGACGCTACACGCACTCTCGAGTTGTTCGCTCGCCTTTGGGACTTCAGGAAGATGCCTGCCTCCGTCGAGGCCTACGACACTTGGCTACGCGAGTACATGTCGATTGCTCAGAAATACGCGACGCCAAAACATCGCTCAACGACGTGCTCGCCACCCACGTGCTCGCCATGGTCCCGTCTTGCCTCGACAGCTTCCGACTCACGTTCACGGACGAGCAGCGAAACCGACGCGACCTTCCCGAACTCACGACGCTTACGGACCGCATTCGCATCCAGCTTCGTTCGGCAGGACTCTCGACCTCGCATTCGGCCATGCTTGCCACCAGCTCCCCCTGCCCCGCCTGCCGCGCTCCCGGTCACCGCCTGCGCGACTGCACTTCACGTGCGAAGCACCCGCCCACCGGCCCCTGCCGCCGATGCCACAAGAAAGGTCACTGGGCACTCGACTGCAAGAACCGGGGTGAACAGGCACGTAGCAGCGACGACACCCAGGACGACACGTCTTCCTCCGCGGCCTCGCAACCGAACGTCGGCTATTTCGCCTCCTGCCTCTTCGCTCGTCGCCAACTCCCAACTGACGCCTTTGTAGTCGATTCGGGTGCCACGACACACATGGTCGCCGACCGATCTCTATTCACGACTTATCGTCAGACGGCACACACCAAGATCGGCGGCATCGCGGGCGGCATCACGGCTATCGGCATGGGACGTGGCATTCGTCGCCAAGACTGGACACCCGATCACGCTCCGTGGTGTTCTTCACACGCCTGGCCTACACGTCAACCTCCTCTCTGTCTCTCGCCTCTGCGACACCGACCGCGTTCGTCTCGCCTTCACCAGCGACGGCATCGACATCGCCAAGGACGGCCGGGCCATTGCTCACGGTACCAGGGTCAACGACGGTCTTACCTTTTGGGACGCGGATCACACCAAGTGTCAGCATCTTGCCTTCCTCTCACGCTCTGAGTCTCCCGTGCCCCTGCTTACCCTACACCGCTGCCTCGGCCATCTTGCCCCATCCTCTATACAGAAGATGATTGCTGCAGGTTTGCTGGACGGGTTTGGGGCCGGGTACAGTGACAAAGACGTAGAGGAGTTTGTTTGCAATGCTTGCCTTGGTTCCAAAGGTCACCGCCTTCCCTTTCCCGACTCTGAGTCGCATTCCGCCGAAGAGACTTGGCCTCGTGCACAGCGACTCCTGTCGTTCCCCACTCCGTCCTTGACCGGGAAGCGCTACCTTGTCACGTTTCTAGACGACCACTCTCGCAAACTCTGGGCATATGCGATCGATCACAAAAGCGATGTTTTCCCGACCTTCCAGACTTGGCTCGCCGAAGTGGAGTTAGAGACGAACGCGCGGTTGAGAATCCTTCGAACCGACAATGGCGGGGAGTACCGATCAAACGCATTCACGGAGTTCTGCAAATCCAAGGGCATTCGTCGTCAATACTCTATCCCTTACACGCCTCAACAAAAACGGTCGCGCCGAACGTGTCAACCTCTCCATCGTCGAGGGCGTCCTCGCTCTCCTTGCGGACGCCCGTCTGCCGGCCACCTTTTGGGATGAAGCGGCTGCGTATTTCGTTTATTGCAAAAACAGGTGCTCACACTCAGCTTTGGCCAAACAGACTCCAGAATCCGTTTGGAACGGCCAACGCACCACCGCCACCGCCTCCACCCGTTCGGCTGCACAGCCTGGCTCACGGTCGCCCCGGACCTTCGCAGCAAGCTCGACCCCAAGGCCGCGCGCGTGATCTTCACAGGTTACGACCCTCGCCTCCAAAGCTTTCCGTTTCTTTGACCATTCCATCAACAAGATTGTACTTGGTCGCAATGCCACCTTCCTCGACGACGACTTCCCCGGCCTGCCAGTCACCACGCCCGTCGATGCAGACGACACCGACCGTCAGTTCGTCGTTCCCGCCGACACGCCCGCCCCTGCCGTCAAGACGAGGACCCCACTAGTAAGGTCGGCGCACATGGACGTCTCATCCTCCCTTGATGATTCTGCCATGAGCGCCGTTGACGTGGCCCCAGGGTACACTGGCGGAACCTTACTTAATTCCACAGATACCGAATCGTCCTCGTCACCGTCTCCTGAGCCGTCCTCGTCACCGTCGCCCACAAACCCTTTGTCACCGTCGCCTGCGCTGTCACCGGTCGTTGGCAGCGTCATCGTCACCCTCGGTCTCACCGACCGACTCTGACTACTCCGCCGACCCTCTGGACCTCATCGGCTCACAGACCCCGACTCGCCTTGGCCCACCGGACGTGCACCGCCCAGACTTCAGCACGTACCGTGAGCCCGCATCGGCTGAGGAGTCGCCCGACGAACTCGACATCATTGGGCGTCACTCGCGCGATGAATCGCCGGATGAAATCGATTTCCTCACCCAACACCACCGCGCCTTCATCGCCACAGACGACGACGACCCCACCCTCGACGCCATCGAGCCCGTCAAATCGATCACTAGCGACCCCCAGACCTGGCGCGAAGCAATGTCCAGCGACGAGCACAACATCTGGGCTGAGGCCGCCGCCGCCGAGTTCACCGCCATGCGCGACGACTTCAAGGTGTTCACCATCGAGCCTCGCTCATCTGTACCGCCGGGCGCCACCATCGTCACCTCCAAATTCGTCTGGAAGACCAAGCGCAACGCAAGCGGTGAAGTCACGGGGCGGAAGGCACGTCTTGTAGCGCAGGGTAACCGACAGCGCGACGGCATCGACTTCTCAGAAACCTTCGCACCCGTCGCCCGTTTCTCCTCCATTCGCTGCCTCCTGGCTCTTGCCGCTGCCAATGGCTACCACGTTCATCAGGCCGACATCGACAAGGCTTACCTCCACGGCGAGCTCGATCATGATATCTGGATGACGACACCACGCGGTTTCGACTTCCCGAGCGATAAGGTTCTCCGGCTGCGACGCTCAATCTACGGTCTCAAGCAGGCCGGTCGCATCTGGAATCGTCACATTGACACATCACTCAGGAATCTGGGGTACAAGGCAACAGGCACTGATCACTGCATTTACTCTCGCATTGACGATCAGCAGCGGCCTCACTATATCGCCTTGTATGTCGACGACCTCCTCATTGTCAGTCCAGCCCTCGACGAGATCGAACGTGTCATCTCCGGCCTTGAACAGCGGTACGGCGTCAAACGACTCGGCCCCGCGGAGTACATCCTCGGAATCCAAATACGCCGCCTGGACGACGGTTCCATTGCTCTATCCCAGGAGCGCTACATCATGGACGTGCTGGCCCGTTTCCACTTCGACACCACGACACGCGGCACTACGGTGCCGATGACGCCCGGCCTCTCGCTCACGGCAATTCCGGGTCAGGGAACGGAGCGCATTCGTTCGTGGTACCTACAGGCCATCGGCTCCCTCCTCTACATCTCCCTTGGCACTCGACCCGACATTGCCTTCGCCGTCTCGTACCTGTCCCGGTTCGCCAACAACCCCGGCCGCCGCCATTGGATTGCCGTCAAACACGTCCTTCGCTACCTTCGCGCCACGTACCGCGATGAGCTTCTCTATGCCCGCGGCCCAGCAAAAGTCACGGGTGTGGTTGGTTATTCTGATGCGAACTGGGGCGCCTGCGTCGACACATCCATTTCAACGATGGGCTACGTATTTTACTTGGCAGGCGCCGCTGTCTCTTGGTCGTCGAAGCGTCAGACTCGGGTAGCGGATTCCACCACTGATGCCGAGTACCTGGCCTTGTCGCACGCGGGTAAGGAAGCGATCTACCTTAACCAACTCCTCTCCGAGCTCCACGTTTGCCCAATCGCTGCAGCTCACATCTTCACCGACAACGAGGCCGCGGCCGCCGTCGCTCACGACCCCGTTCGCACCTCCGGCACCCGGCACATTCGCCTCCGCGAGCATTTTGTCCGTGACATGGTCAATCGAGGTGATATCTCTCTCTCACACGTTGGCACAGCAGACATGGTTGCGGACGTATTCACCAAAGCGCTAGGCCCCAAGATTTTTGGTACACATTGCTATGCTCTAGGCCTCCGGACGCGACATCCACGGCTCAAGTCTACCTCGCGTTCGCGTGGGGGGGGGTGTGAGGAATCCACTCTCCGCTCGGCTCAGGACTTAGGCGCGCGGAGCGAACCGGGCGCGGACTTAGGCGCGCGGAGTGAGCCGGGCGCCCCGGCCCAGGACTTAGGCGCGCGAAGCGAGCCTGGGACTTAGGCGCGCGGAGCGAGCCTGGGCCATTGGCTCAGCCCCAGGCTCGCTGGCTGTGGACTTGGGGCGCGCGGGTCTCTTATTGTTAGCTTCCTATTCATCACTCTTGGCTATAACTACATCGCTGACGTAGTAGAGTTGATTGAATAGGTATGTTGAAATGCATTCATCACTCTTGGCTATAACTACATCGCTGACGTAGTAGAGTTGATTGAATAGGTGTCCAGTCGTCGGGTGCGATACCGTCGAGGACGTACGAGCGGATGTCTTCCGCTAGGCACAGGCGAAGGTCTTCGCACCATCCAAGCGTGCGTGCTTTGGAAAGGCGGTGCGAGTGGTGCCGGACGTCGTGGCGGGTGTGGCAGTGCCGGAAGCGGCAGCGGTGAGACCCGACAGCAGCGATGTAAGTGCGGCGAGCTGTTCGGCGGGAATCGGAGGGTTGGCACCCGTCGCGAGGGGTGGTGTCGTGGTCATGCCAGCTGGTGGCTCGTGGGCTTATAACCTATGAGACGTTCACCACTACTGTCAGGAGAGGTTGAGAGTCGAACAGAAGTGATGAGAAGGAAGCTAAGAAACAGAAAGGGGGGGGGGGGGGGGGGGGGGGGGCACGCTGGGATAGGCCCAGGCGCGTGACAATGTACATCCCTAAGTCAGCCGCGGGTGAAATCGCCGGCGCGCCTAAGTCCCCACCGCAAGGGGGCGGGCTAGCGGGCGCGCGCATGAATCCGCCGGCGCTGGCGCGCTGAGGCAGTCGCGCGCGTCTAAGTCCCCACCGCCGGGGGCGGGCTAGCAAGTGCGCGCAACGACCGAGGCGCCCCTGTTGAGCTGAGAGTGGACTCTTCACACTGATGCACCAAGGATCATGGCGGATCCCGCCCGGGTGACACGTCGGTTGCCGGGTGCCGAGCTCGAACGAAGGCGTCGAGGATTTGTCGAGGCTATGGAGGTTGTCGAGGTTGCCGATGATCCCAACGTGCCACCGGACAAAGGCGAAGGAGAGGTCGGGGTCGAAACGGGCGCCGCCGTCGTCGTCTGCGTCTCCTTTGTTGAGCCCAGGGTCGCACGCGTCGACGTCTCTTCCCCAGTGTCGCCGCCCTCCGGTTCGGTCGAAACGACCGACTCGTCGTCGCCGTCGTTCGCGTCGTCCTTGTTGGCGGTTACTGCACCTGCGGGGTTAGCACGAGGTCCCAGCTGGATCATGTTCGCGCCAGAGACACGAGAGTTCAATGCGGCAGGCCCACCGTGCTTCCCATTTTTCCAGCAACTCGGAAGCCGGTGGTCGAAGTCGAAGTCGAGGTCGAGGCCCCCGGAACAGGGGCGGCGGTGGCCGGAGTCGAAACCGGCTTCCTGCAAGCGCCCCACTGGTGTCCGGCGCGATCGCACACCGCGCAGTAGTGCGTCTCGAATTCGTGTCGCAAGCCGTACTTGGCGCCCAGGATCTCGATCTCTTGTGGCAAAGGGGCGTTGAGCGTGTAGAGTGTAGGTCGTGGAACTTTTCGGAACTGGGTGTAGCGACCGCTGGGGCTACTGTTGGGCGCGTCGACGTGGCTACGGTTGCAACGGACGGTCCGATTGGGAGAAGTCGCAAGGCGGCACAGACGCGGTCTGACGAGACGGCGGTGCGGCTGGACGATCTGTTCTCTACCGAAGATTAGCAGTCTGGCTAATGTCGGGAAGCGGTAGAGAAGAGGAAGGGAAGCACAAGGAGCGCGAGTCTGGCAAGGTTCTAGCAAGCGGGCGCGCAAAGGATCTACTGCAAATCGGGCGGATGCGCTGCTAAGCATCAAGGGCAAACTCCAAGTGGGTCATTCGGGTGCTGAGAGGGGTCGTGTTGGACAACGGCCACGAGGGGAAACCTATCTACGATGTCGAGTGTTGGTGAGCGAGGGAGTCCATAGCGACGAGACTCAGGTTGCGAACGGCGGGCGTCATGCATGGGCGATACTCTTGATGGCCGATGGAACATGAGGACGGCGGCGGCAAGCTGCTGGTGACTAAGTGGAGGCATTGGCTCAGCAAGACTGGAGGGCAGACGGCCAGAGTCCCGGCGTGGAGGCGGCGGCGCGCGGGCGTGAGTTGAGCAGGCCGGTGCGAGGCAGGAGGGCGACGGCTTGGCTGCGAAGGCGAAGGCGCCGAGGCAAAAATGGGCGGACCTGACAACGGTGGCCCAAGGTTGAAGTGTTCGAACGCTTGTAGTAGAATGAAATTCAACAATTACCACCCAATATGGCAAGCGACGTCGGAGGGGATGACGTCGTCTACACGCGTTGGTACGGGGGGGGGGGATTTCAGGAAGTGTCGGCTGTTGCGGCGGCAGTCGACAAGGGAGCAACCGAGGAGGGGAGTCGGTCGAAAGGCTCGCAGGAAATCAAGTGTAATGGACTTAATTCCCAAACGATCGACAAGAAGAGGAGGGGCAACAAAAGAGAAGAGCGGACCAAGCTCCGGGGGAAGGTGGTAAAACTAAAGGGAAGGGACTGCTCCAGGCCCAGAGGGGACTTAGCCAAATCAACCACTCCAAGAGGTCGCCTCAGGGGTAAAAAGGATTGCTCGCGGGAGCACCGGTAAAAACCCTGAAGCCGTGCCTCGGCTAACAAAAGATAAAACAAACCGAAAGAAGACTGCGGTCTGGGCGCCTCGAACCCGCGACCACCGAGTGCGCGCCCGCGCGCCTCACGACTACGCCATCGCACCGACGATGCTGTGAAACGAGGCAAGCCTCTGGTGAAGTCAACTCTACCCGCACATAGCCTTGGGGGCTTCCTTCGAGTACACGCTGTCATCCTGACACTGTCCCCCCCAGAAGGAAGTCTACCGTGCGGCGAGGCGGCGGTTCGAGCGATCGAGGCGCGCGAGGTAGGCGTCGAGGACGGACGGATGGTCAAGGCGAATGGACTGCTCTGACATCCAAGTATCGTCGGTGTCGTTACGGCCTACCCATCGAACCAAGAATGAACGAGCGCCGCGAGCGTTCCGCCGATCGCGAACAATCCGTTCCGGATGTGAGGAATCCACTCTCCGCTCGGCTCAGGACTTAGGCGCGCGGAGCGAACCGGGCGCGGACTTAGGCGCGCGGAGTGAGCCGGGCGCCCCGGCCCAGGACTTAGGCGCGCGAAGCGAGCCTGGGACTTAGGCGCGCGGAGCGAGCCTGGGCCATTGGCTCAGCCCCAGGCTCGCTGGCTGTGGACTTGGGGCGCGCGGGTCTCTTATTGTTAGCTTCCTATTCATCACTCTTTATTCGATCAACTCTACTACGTCAGCGATGTAGTTATAGCCAAGAGTGATAAATGCATTTCAACATACCTATTCGATCAACTCTACTACGTCAGCGATGTAGTTATAGCCAAGAGTGATAAATGCATTTCAACATACCTATTCGATCAACTCTACTACGTCAGCGATGTAGTTATAGCCAAGAGTGTGAGGAATCCACTCTCCGCTCGGCTCAGGACTTAGGCGCGCGGAGCGAACCGGGCGCGGACTTAGGCGCGCGGAGTGAGCCGGGCGCCCCGGCCCAGGACTTAGGCGCGCGAAGCGAGCCTGGGACTTAGGCGCGCGGAGCGAGCCTGGGCCATTGGCTCAGCCCCAGGCTCGCTGGCTGTGGACTTGGGGCGCGCGGGTCTCTTATTGTTAGCTTCCTATTCATCACTCTTGGCTATAACTACATCGCTGACGTAGTAGAGTTGATCGAATAGGTATGTTGAAATGCATTCATCACTCTTGGCTATAACTACATCGCTGACGTAGTAGAGTTGATCGAATATCTGGAAGGGTTTTGCGATGTTTGATCGACTCTGGATCAGAGGTCGACTTGGTGGATCAGGAGGTGGTGCGAGTCGACCCGAGCTTCGCAACGGCCCGTTTGACTGCACCGTTGCACTTGCGCCTCGGCACCCAGGATAAGTCCGACCGATGTGCTGTGTTCGCCACCGCTCCCTTTTCGTCTGGCGCCCTAGATCTCGGTTTGCGACCATTCTTCGTTTGCCGTGTAACGGCGTACGACGCCATCTTGGGGCTGCCATTTCTTAAGGACACAGGCATGCTCATTGGTTGGGGCGCCTTCACCGTCGCGCGCACCGGCCCTTCGCAACCCATCGCCCAGGATACGCACGAATGGGACCGAGCCGTCACCGTAGCACCTATCTTATCCGGTTCTGCCATTGGCTGCAATCACCCTGGGTTGCTCCCCGACGACGAGATCATCGGCCTCGAGCCACACAACCCGCTGCTCGATGTCGTCGACAATCCGGCGCTCGACGATTTCTCTGAGTCCGAAGCACGAACACGATTGGCTGCCTTACTCGAGAAATTTTCTGATGTGTTCGTAGATTCGCTACCGATGGACCAACTCCCACCGTACCGGCCAGTCAACCACGAGATCCCGTTGATCGATCCCACCGAAAAGGTCAAACCCCGGGTATACCCCCTTGCCGACAAATATCGGAGCCAGTGGGCGGAACACTCAACTAAGTACACTTGTGGTCGATTCTGGGTTTCGGGTCCGATCGATTCTGCGGCTCCGGTCTTTGCCATTCCGAAGAAGAACTCCCAGACGGCTCGTTTCGTGATCGACCTCCGCGCGCGCAACAACAACACCGTCAAGCGTTTTTCTCCCATCCCGGACATGACCAATGTTCGATACGAGGTGGCTCGATCGCGTTATCGCTCTAAATTCGACGTGGCCGCGGCATTTGAGCAGGTTCGGGTCATACCGGAGCACGTCGATCGCACCGGCTTCGCAACGGTGACGGGCACGTACACGTCGCGGGTCATGCAGTTTGGTGACACCAATGCGCCCAATACCCTCAACCTCTTGACCTCGGCGATGTTCCAGCCGTGTCTCCCGTTCGCCAAGATCTTTTTCGACGATGTCCACGTCCATTCCGATACCCGTCGTGCGCACTTGAGACACATCAAGATCCTGCTGATGACATTGAGACATTACCGGTTCTACTTAGGATCCAAGAAGTCCGAGTGGTTCTCAAAGTCGTTGGACTCCTTGGGCACCATCATTTCTGACGTCGGCATCGAAGTCGACCCCGCCAAGTGGGTGCGTATCCGTCAGTGGCCGATCCCTTGCAACAAGACCGATGTCCAGCGCTTCCTCGGCACCGTCAACTGGATGCGAGATCACCTACCGCACCTCTCAAAGATTTTGGAGCCGATCACCGCGTTAATGGCGCAAGCGACGTCATGGCGTTGGAACGAGCGAGAACAGCAGGCTTTCGATACCGTCAAGTCCCTTGTGCCCGCCATCCTACGACCGATCGATGGCGCCAAGGTTACCTCAGGCGAGCACAAGATGTACCTCTTCACGGATGCCAGTCGGGTTGGCATTGGCGCTTGTTTGGCGTCCGGGCCCAACCGTTCGCAGGCCGTTCCAACGCGATTCTTTTCCGCTAAGTTCAACGGTGCTCAGCTCAACTATCATGTCACTGATAAAGAGTTCTTGGCTGTCGTCTCGGCGTGTCGGGCGTTCGAGCAGCACTTGATCGGTTACCCCTTCGTCATCGTCACCGACCATCAGGCCCTTCGCACGATAAAAACCCAAAAACTGCGCCAAACGCCTCGGCACATCCGCATGTGTCTCGAACTCAGCCGTTTCGACTTCGAATTTGAATTCATTGCTGGCAAGAACAACACCCTGGCCGATTCGTTGTCGCGTCTGTGGGAGGTCAAGCAGGGTTCACACGAGGATCAGGTCAAGGAGAATGAGTTGGAGGACATGTTCTTTGATGGAGAACGCCACGAATTCACTACACCCGGTGAGAGCCTCCCTGAGGAACGTCCTTGCACTTCACCATCTCCCGATCGGTTGCCTCCTGTTGATTTTGCCCTCGGGCCCCAACACGACGATTGCGAGGCAGGCTCTCCCGGATACTACGCGCTCAAGGACGAATCGCAAGACGAGGACGTGAATGGACGGGATTTAGGGAATTTGTTCTTGAAGGAAGAATGCCACGAGTTCATTACGCCCGGTGAGAGCCTCCTCGAGGAACGTCCTTACACCTCACCTTCGCACGATCGGTTGCCCCCTGTTGATTGCGCCTTCGGGCCCTGGGGTCACGGTTACGACGCAGGCTCTCCCGGTTCCCCTCATCTGGCCGAGAACATTATGGACGCCGTCGATTGGTCTATTGGCCGCCTCTCTCCTCCCATCGCTGTCAATCGAGTTCACGCTATTGCTACGGCCCCTGCCAACGACCCGCCCATTCCGGTCGATGCCGACGCCGACGAACTCGATTTGTTGGGAGTTGCCACCGATGATGTCAACGACACCCCTGTAGTCCATCGGCCGCCTGATCCACTGCCCCAACCCTTCCTCGACACCGTCATCCGAGCATACGCCAACGATTCGCAAGCCCAGGTCATCATTACCGACCCGCTATCATGGCCTATGTTTCGGGTGACCGAGGAAGGGAGGATTTTGCGTGTACATCCAGATGAGTCTATTTCCTTGTTTGTGCCTCGTGGTCTCGCTACTGGCGTCGTCAACTCCGACAAGGTCCCATCGCTGCGCGAGCTCGTGCTTTCGGAGATTCATCGGAGTGTCGGGCATGCAGGACATCGCATCACCTTGGCCGCCATACATCCTTTGTACTGGTGGTCGTCCATGTCTGCCGATTGCGCCGAGTTCTGCCGTTCATGTTATGAGACGTTCACCACTACTGTCAGGAGAGGTTGAGAGTCGAACAGAAGTGATCTATTTCAGCGTACCTATGAGACGTTCACCACTACTGTCAGGAGAGGTTGAGAGTCGAACAGAAGTGATGAGAAGGAAGCTAAGAAACAGAAAGGGGGGGGCCACGCTGGGATAGTCCCAGGCGCGTGACAATGTACATCCCTAAGTCAGCCGCGGGTGAAATCGCCGGCGCGCCTAAGTCCCCACCGCAAGGGGGCGGGCTAGCGGGCGCGCGCATGAATCCGCCGGCGCTGGCGCGCTGAGGCAGTCGCGCGCGTCTAAGTCCCCACCGCCGGGGGCGGGCTAGCAAGTGCGCGCAACGACCGAGGCGCCCCTGTCGAGCTGAGAGTGGACTCTTCACACCCCCCCCCACGCGAATGCGAGGCAGACCCAAGCCGCGGGTGTCGAGTGCGAAGGCCGAGGGCGTAGCAGTGCGTTGAGAAGACCTTTGGGCCGAGAGCCTTGGTGAAGATGTCGGCCACCATGTCGCTGGTACCCACATGCGAGAGAGAGATGTCGCCCCGATTCACCATGTCCCGAACGAAGTGCTCACGCAAGCGTATGTGCCGAGTGCCAGAGACGCGGACAGGATCGTGAGCAACTGCAGCAGCGGCTTCGTTGTCAGTAAAGATGTGAGCCGGTGCAACAGGTTGTACATGGAGCTCTTCGAGCAGCTGACTGAGGTAAATCCCTTCCTTGCCAGCATGCGAGAGGGCGAGGTATTCAGCGTCGGTGGTCGAATCGGCAACTCGAGACTGGCGTTTGGACGACCAGGACACGGCCGAGCCAGCGATGTAGAAGACGTAGCCCATGGTGGACACCGATGTGTCGATGCAGGCCCCCCAGTTCGCGTCGGAGTAGCCTACCACACCCGTGATGCGAGCCTGGCCGCGAGCATACACGAGTTCGTTGCGATACGTGGCCCGGAGATAGCGTAGGATGTGCTTGACCGCAATCCAATGACGACGACCGGGGTTGTTGGCGAAGCGGGCCAGGTAGGACACGGCGAAGGCGATGTCAGGGCGGGTACCGAGCGAAATGTAGAGGAGCGAGCCGATAGCCTGCAGATACCATGACCTGATCCGTTCGGTGCCTTGACCCGGGATAGCAGTGAGCGAAAGGCCGGGAGTCATCGGAACTGTAGTGCCGCGAGTCGTGGTGTCGAAGTGGAACCGAGCGAGCACGTCCATGATGTACCGTTCCTGGGATAGGGCGATAGAGCCGTCGTCGAACCGCCTGATCTGGATGCCGAGGATATACTCGGCCGGGCCGAGGCGCTTGACTCCGTAGCGTTGGTCCAGGCCTGAGATGACACGTTCGATTTCGGCCAGTTCCGGGCTGATCATCAGGAGGTCGTCGACGTACAGTGCGATGTAGTGTGGACATTGACGATCATCGAGCCAAGAGTATACGCAGTGGTCGGTGCCCGTCGCCGTGTAACCGAGGGCCCGAAGCGAAGCGTCGATGTGTCGATTCCAGATTCGGCCAGCCTGTTTGAGCCCGTAGATGGAGCGTCGCAGGCGAAGCACCTTGTCGCTGGGAAGGTCGAAGCCGCGCGGTGCCGTCATCCAGATGTCGTGGTCAAGGTCGCCATGCAGATATGCTTTGTCGATGTCCGCCTGGTGCACGTGCAAGCCGTTGGCGGCCGCCAGCGCGAGGAGTGAGCGTATCGAGGAGAAGCGTGCGACCGGTGCGAACGTTTCGTTGAAGTCGATGCCGTCGCGTTGCCGATTGCCTTGCGCGACCAGCCTTGCCTTGTGTCCAGTGACTTCGCCGAGTGCGTTCCGTTTCGTTTTCCAGACGAACTTGGATGTAACGATAGTCGCACCCGCGGGCACCGTGGCTCGGTCCTCGATGGTGAAGACCTTGAAGTCGTCGCGCATGGAGGTGAACTCGTCGGTGGCGGCTTTGGCCCATACTTCACGCTTGTCGCTAGACATCGCCTCGCGCCAGGTCTGTGGGTCGCTCGTGATGGACTTGACTGGCTGAATTGCCTCTGTGTCAGAGGTGTCGTCGTCGATGGCGATGAAGGCGCGGTGGTGTCGGGTGAGGAAATCGATTTCGTCCGGAGATTCGTCGCGAGAGTGGCGCCCAATGAGGTCGAGTTCGTCGGGCGACTCCTCAGCCGATGCGGGCTCGCGGTACGTGCTGAAGTCTGGGTGGTGCACGTCCTGTAGATCGAGGCGAACCTGGGGCTGTGAGCCGAGGAGGTCGAGGGGATCGGCGGAGTCTTCAGAGTCGGTCGGTAAGGCCGAGGGTGACGATGACGCAGCCGACGATGGTGAAAGTGCAGGCGATGGCGCAGACGACGGTGATGAGGGCGACGCAGGCGACGGTGACGAGGACGATTCGGCATCTGTGAAGTTAAGTAAGGTTCCGCCAGTGTACCCTGGGGCCACGTCAACGGCGCTCATGGCAGAATCATCAAGGGGGGATGAGACGTCCATGTGCGCCGACCTTACTAGTGGGGTCCATGTCTTGACAACGGTTTGAGATTCGGTGGTGGGAGCGCTGGCGAAGTGCGTGTCGCCGTCTTGCTCAGTGGGGTCGCCATGTAATCCGGGGAATTCAGTGTCGAGGAACGTGGCATTTCTGCCAAGTATAATCTTCTGTGTTGTAGTGTCGTAGAAGCGAAAGGCTTTTGAAGCCAGGTCGTAGCCGGTGAAAAAAACGCGAACCGCCTTCGGGTCGAGTTTGGAGCGAAGTTCGGGCGCGACCGTAAGCCAAGCTGTACAGCCGAACGGGTGAAGCGCCGAGGCAGTGGTGTGGTCACCCTGCCAGACGGAGTTTGGTGTTGCCTTGTCCAGGGCCGCGTGTTGACACAGGTTCTTGCAGTAAACGAAATAAGCTGACAGGCAACGTCGGAGGGGATGACGATGACTACACGCGAGAGACGAGGGAGAGAGCGAGAGAGCGCGCGAAAGCGCGAAGGAGCGAAGGGGGTGTCGACCGAGGCGGCGGCAGTCGACCGAGAGGCAACCGCGGAGGATACGCGGCTGCAAGGCTCGCAGCAAGTCCAGTGTACCGAACTATGGTAGCCAACGAGGTCGGACAGAAGAGGGAGGGCAAACGATCCAAGAAATAGCTGACCAGGCCGGTGGGAAGGTCGAGTCGGCTGGGCGGCGGAAGTCGACCGAGAGGCAACCGCGGAGGATACGCGGCTGCAAGGCTCGCAGCAAGTCCAGTGTACCGGACTATGGTGGCCAACGAGGTCGGACAAAAGAGGAAGGGCAAACGATCCAAGAAATAGCTGACCAGGCCGATGGGAAGGTCGAGTCGGCTGGGCGGCGGCAGTCCACCGAGAGCAACCGAGGAGTGGATTCGGTCGGAAGGCTTCGCAGCAAATCAAGTGTAACGGACTTAATTGCCAGCGAAATGGGTAAAAAGAGGGAGGGTACGAGTCATGATAATGAGTGGACCAAGCTCTAGGGGAAGGGTGGCAAAAGCAAAAGGAGGGAAGTGCTCCGAGCGAAGGAAAGACTGAATCAAATAACTACACCACGAGGTCGCTTCAGGGGTAAAAAGGATTGCCTGCAAGGCACCGGTAAAAACCCCGAAGCCGGGCCTCGGATAACAAAAAGGAAAAGAAACCAAAAGGCAGATCACGCTCCGGGCGGATCGAACCCTCGACCACTGAGTGCGCGCCCGCGCGCCCTCACGACTACACCATCGCGCCGACAATGCTTGCAACGAACAAACCGGTAGCTGATGTCGACTCCGGCCGCAAACTTGGGAGACTTCCTTCGAGTATTGATGGCAGTGCAGGCTGTGCTCCTGACATAAGCTGCAGCCTCCTCCCAGAATGTCTTGGGTAGGTGGGCGTCGACAAGGAGGGCAAGGATGCCTTCGGCAATGGAACGATTGACCCGCTCTGCACGACCGTTCTGTTGAGGCGTGCGTGGGATAGAGTATTGTCGACGGGTGCCTCGTGCCTTGCAGAACTCTGTGAACGCTCTCGAACAGTATTCGCCACCGTTGTCGGTTCGGAGGACCTTCAGCGTCGCACCCGTCTCGAGTTCAACCTCGGCTAGCCAAGTTTTGAATATGCCGAAGACTTCGCTTTTGTGTCCGATTGCGTAGGCCCAGAGTTTGCGCGAGTAATCGTCAAGGAATGTGACCAGGTAACGTTTGCCAGTCAAGGACCGCTCGGGGAAGGAAAGCACATCGCTGTGTACAAGGCCGAGTCTCTCTGAGGAGTGCGAATCCGAATCGGGAAAGGGAAGACGATGGCCCTTTGCGCTGAGGCAAGCATTGCAGACAAACTTCTCTACCTCTTCGTCACTATATCCGGCCCTGAGACCCTCCAGCAAACCAGCGGCAACCATCTTCTGTATGGAGGACGGTGCGAGATGGCCGAGGCAGCGATGGAGAGTCAGCAGGGGCACGGACGACTGTGAGCGAGAAAGGAGAGCAAGGTGCTGACATTTGGAATGATCAGCGTCCAGCAAGTAGAGCCCTTCGTCGAGTCGTGCGCCTTCAGCGATGTCGTTGCCGTCCTTGTCAATGTGGATGCCGTGTTTTGTGAAGGCGACACGGACATCGTCGGTGTCGCAAAGTCGAGAGACCGAGAGAAGATTGACAAACAGGCCCGGAGTGTGCAGCACGCCGGTAAGCGTGATCGGATGACCCGAGGCGGCAATGAAGGCGATGTTTCCCGTTCCGATGGCGTTGATGCCCCCTGCAATACCACCAATCTTCGTAGGAGCGATATGGCGATAGGTCGTGAACAGCGACTTGTCCGAGACCATGTGCGAAGTGGCGCCCGAGTCGACGACAAAAGAGTGGTTGCGAAGCTGGCGACGACGAGCGAGAAGACCGGTGGCGAGACATCCGACATGGTGTTGCGAGTCGACGGTCGAGTCAGCGGTGTCGGGCTTTTTGCCGTCCTCGAGCGCCTTCTTGCAGTCGAGAGACCAGTGATCCTTCTTCTTGCAGGAGCGACAGGGTCCTGGCGGCGGGTGTTGCGCCCTCGTAGGGCACTCCGCGACTCGGTGCGAAGGGCTGCGACAGGCGAGACACTTGAGACGAGTAGAACGTGACGACGACGAGGCAAGAAGGGCCGATTGAGTGCTGGGGATGTTCGTTGACCGAAGTTGGACTCGCATACGGTCGGCAAGCGAATCAATGTCGGGGAGAGTTCGTTGCGTGCGCTGTTCATCGGTGAACGACGCCTTGAAGCTCTCGAGGGACGGGTGGGCGATTGCAAGGAGGAGTGTGGCGAGAACATCATTGATAGTTGTCTTTGTGTCGATGATCTCTTGCGCAACGGCTTTGAAGTCCATGATCCACCCGTCGAATTCGGCAACCGTGCCGGGCATGGGACGGAAACCCCAGAGTCGTGAGAAGAGCTCGAGCGTGCGGGTGGCGTCGTCAGGGGCGTACCGCGATTTCAGCGTCGAGTAGATTGTCGGCGCTGTCAGGTCGGCGGTAGGGATTTTGTCGAGGACTGCCGAGACTTCGGCCGAGTCAATCGAATTCGCAAGGACCTCACGAGCGACGGCGTCGCGAGCGGAGCGTTGCGAAGGTGTCCAGTCGTCGGGTGCGATACCGTCGAGGACGTACGAGCGGATGTCGTCCGCTAGGCACAGGCGAAGTTGGCGTGTCCAGTTCGCGAAGGTCTTCGCACCATCCAAGCGTGCGTGCTTTGGAAAGGCAGTGCGAGTGGTGCCGGACGTCGTGGCGGGTGTGGCAGTGCCGGAAGCGGCAGCGGTGAGACCCGACAGCAGCGATGTAAGTGCGGCGAGCTGTTCGGCGGGAATCGGAGGGTTGGCACCCGTCGCGAGGGGTGGTGTCGTGGTCATGCCAGCTGGTGGCTCGTGGGCTTATAACCTATGAGACGTTCACCACTACTGTCAGGAGAGGTTGAGAGTCGAACAGAAGTGATCTATTTCAGCGTACCTATGAGACGTTCACCACTACTGTCAGGAGAGGTTGAGAGTCGAACAGAAGTGATGAGAAGGAAGCTAAGAAACAGAAAGGGGGGGGCCACGCTGGGATAGTCCCAGGCGCGTGACAATGTACATCCCTAAGTCAGCCGCGGGTGAAATCGCCGGCGCGCCTAAGTCCCCACCGCAAGGGGGCGGGCTAGCGGGCGCGCGCATGAATCCGCCGGCGCTGGCGCGCTGAGGCAGTCGCGCGCGTCTAAGTCCCCACCGCCGGGGGCGGGCTAGCAAGTGCGCGCAACGACCGAGGCGCCCCTGTCGAGCTGAGAGTGGACTCTTCACACATGTGAAGACTGTACCCGAGGCAAGGCGTCCACTCAAGTCCCCTATGGCCGACTGCATCCGATGCCGATCCCTTCTGGTCCTTGGGAACAAGTGGCCATCGACTTCATGACAGGACTGCCTCCGGTCGAGCTCGAAGGGAGGATGGTTGCTCAAATCATGGTGGTCACTGACACTTGGGGCAAGATGGTTCACCTGATTCCCCTCCCAGCCGACGCCGACTCGGAGCTCGTTGCCGAGAAGTACTATGCCACCGTCTTCCGACTGCATGGGATGCCTTCCGCCATCGTTTCCGACCGTGATCCCAAGTTCACCTCGCAGTTTTGGCGGGCATTGCAGGCAAAGATTGGCACCGTCTTGCGAATGTCAACCGCGGCACACCCCGAGACGGACGGATCGAGCGAGAATCGGATCAAGATGGTCACCCAAACCCTGCGGATCATGGTCTCGTCAAACCACGAGGCTTGGGTATCTCGTCTTGTTGAAGCTGAGTTCGCTCTTAACTCTTCTGTTGCTGTGTCCACGTCGCTGTCGGCTTTTGAGGCAACCTACGGCTACCTTCCTCGACGCTGGCCCTCGGATTCCTGGTCTGTCTCGGACGTCCCTCGTGCGGAAGCGTTTGCTCGGATCCGACAATTACGGAACCTTGACGTGACGGATGCGATCATTGGAGCACACCTCAACCAGTCCCATCAGGCCAACAAGCATCGACGCCCAGACGACCCCGCCTTTCGGACCGGCAGTTACGTCTATCTTTCGACAAAGAACCTGGCAGTTCCTGACGGCATGAAGTCGAAGTTGTTGCCGCGCTACATCGGCCCCTTCCGTATCCGAGCGGCCATCCCTGCGACGTCCAGCTACGACCTCGAGCTCCCTCCAGCGATGTCGCGAGTGCACAATCGTTTCCATGCTCGACTGCTTCGGCCTTGCGTTGAGAATGATGCTGAAAGGTTTCCTGGGCGTGACCCCGCAGTTCTTTTTGTCGAAGACGTAGCCGACGCGGCCGACAATTCTGCGATTCCGGTATTCGATCAACTCTACTACGTCAGCGATGTAGTTATAGCCAAGAGTGATGAATAGGAAGCTAACAATAAGAGACCCGCGCGCCCCAAGTCCACAGCCAGCGAGCCTGGGGCTGAGCCAATGGCCCAGGCTCGCTCCGCGCGCCTAAGTCCTGGGCCGGGGCGCCCGGCTCACTCCGCGCGCCTAAGTCCGCGCCCGGTTCGCTCCGCGCGCCTAAGTCCTGAGCCGAGCGGAGAGTGGATTCCTCACACCCCCCCCCACGCGAACGCGAGGTAGACTTGAGCCGTGGATGTCGCGTCCGGAGGCCTAGAGCATAGCAATGTGTACCAAAAATCTTGGGGCCTAGCGCTTTGGTGAATACGTCCGCAACCATGTCTGCTGTGCCAACGTGTGAGAGAGAGATATCACCTCGATTGACCATGTCACGGACAAAATGCTCGCGGAGGCGAATGTGCCGGGTGCCGGAGGTGCGAACGGGGTCGTGAGCGACGGCGGCCGCGGCCTCGTTGTCGGTGAAGATGTGAGCTGCAGCGATTGGGCAAACGTGGAGCTCGGAGAGGAGTTGGTTAAGGTAGATCGCTTCCTTACCCGCGTGCGACAAGGCCAGGTACTCGGCATCAGTGGTGGAATCCGCTACCCGAGTCTGACGCTTCGACGACCAAGAGACAGCGGCGCCTGCCAAGTAAAATACGTAGCCCATCGTTGAAATGGATGTGTCGACGCAGGCGCCCCAGTTCGCATCAGAATAACCAACCACACCCGTGACTTTTGCTGGGCCGCGGGCATAGAGAAGCTCATCGCGGTACGTGGCGCGAAGGTAGCGAAGGACGTGTTTGACGGCAATCCAATGGCGGCGGCCGGGGTTGTTGGCGAACCGGGACAGGTACGAGACGGCGAAGGCAATGTCGGGTCGAGTGCCAAGGGAGATGTAGAGGAGGGAGCCGATGGCCTGTAGGTACCACGAACGAATGCGCTCCGTTCCCTGACCCGGAATTGCCGTGAGCGAGAGGCCGGGCGTCATCGGCACCGTAGTGCCGCGTGTCGTGGTGTCGAAGTGGAAACGGGCCAGCACGTCCATGATGTAGCGCTCCTGGGATAGAGCAATGGAACCGTCGTCCAGGCGGCGTATTTGGATTCCGAGGATGTACTCCGCGGGGCCGAGTCGTTTGACGCCGTACCGCTGTTCAAGGCCGGAGATGACACGTTCGATCTCGTCGAGGGCTGGACTGACAATGAGGAGGTCGTCGACATACAAGGCGATATAGTGAGGCCGCTGCTGATCGTCATGTGAAGAGTCCACTCTCAGCTCGACAGGGGCGCCTCGGTCGTTGCGCGCGCCTGCTAGCCTGGCCCCTGTGGTGGGGACTTAGGCGCGCGCGAGTGCCTCAGCGCGCCGGCGCCGGCGGTTTTCGGGCGCGCGCCGCTAGCCCGCCCTTGCAGTGGGGACTTAGCCGCGCGCGACTGCCTCAGCGCTCCAGCGATTTCGCCCGCGCCTGGGCATATCCCAGCGCGGGCCCCCTTTCCATTTCTTAGCTTCCTTCTCATCACTTCTGTTCGACTCTCGACTTCTCCTGACAGTAGTGGTGATCATCTCATAGGTTATAAGCCCATCGAGCTACCGCTGGCATGGACACGTCGTCAACCCTCGCGACGAGCGCCACCCCGACAATTCCCGCCGAACAGCTTGCCGCACTTACATCGCTGCTGTCGGGACTCACCGCTGCCGCTTCCGGCACTACCGCACCCGCCACGACATCCGGCTCCAATCGCAATGCCTTCCCGAAGCATGCGCGGTTGGACGGGCCGAAGACGTTCGCGAACTGGACACGCCAGCTTCGCCTGTGCCTAGCGGACGACATCCGCTCCTACGTCCTCGACGGAATCACCCCCGACGATTGGACGCCTTCGCAACGCTCCGCCCGCGACGTCGTGGCACGCGAGATCCTTGCAAACTCAATCGACTCGGCCGAAGTCTCGGCAGTCCTCGACAAGATCCCTACGGCCGACCTCACAGCGCCCAAGATTTACTCGACGCTGAAATCGCGATACGCCCCTGATGACGCCACTCGCACGCTCGAGCTCTTCTCGCGACTCTGGGGCTTCCGACCCATGCCCGGAACGGTTGGCGAATTTGACAGTTGGATCATGGACTTCAAGTCGGTCGCGCAAGAGATCATCGATACGAAAACGACGATCAACGACGTCCTTGCCACACTCCTCCTCGCGATCGCCCACCCGTCACTCGAGAGCTTCAAGGCAACGTTCACCGACGAACAACGCACGCAACGAACTCTCCCTGACATCGATTCAGTGGCCGACCGTATGCGAGTTCAACTCCGGTCAACGAACCTCTCCAACGATCAATCGGCCCTCCTTGCCTCGTCGTCGCCACGTTCTACCCGTACCAAGTGCCTCGCCTGTCGCAGCTCTTCTCACCGCGTCGCACAATGCCCTACAAGGGCCCAGCATCCACCGCCAGGCCCGTGTCGCTCCTGCAAGAAGAAGGACCACTGGTCTTTCGACTGCAAAAAGGCTCTTGAGGACGGGAAAACGCCCGACACCTCTGATGCGCAACACCATGTCGGATGTCTCGCCACCGGTCTTCTCGCACATCGTCGTCAGCTTCGCAACAACTCCTTCGTCGTCGACTCGGGTGCCACTTCGCACATGGTCTCGGACAAGTCGCTGTTCACGGCCTATCGCCACATCGCTCCTACGAAGATTGGTGGTATTGCAGGGGGCATCAACGCCGTCGGAACGGGAAACATCGCCTTTGTTGCCGCCTCCGGTCACCCGATCACGCTTACCGGCGTGCTGCACACCCCGGGCCTGTCTGTCAACCTCCTCTCGGTCTCTCGACTTTGCGACACCGACGATGTCCGTGTCGCCTTCACGAAGCACGGCATCCATATCGACAAGAACGGCAATGCTATCGCTGAAGGCGCAAGACTCGAGGAAGGGCTCTACTTGCTGGACGCTGATCATTCCAAATGTCAGCATCTCGCTCTCCTCTCTCGCTCACAGTCTTCCGTGCCCCTGCTGACCCTTCACCGCTGCCTCGGCCATCTCGCACCGTCGTCCATACAGAAGATGGTTGCCGCTGGTTTGCTGGAAGGTCTCGGGGCCGGATATAGTGACGAAGAGGTAGAGAAGTTTGTCTGCAATGCTTGCCTCAGTGCAAAGGGCCATCGTCTTCCTTTTCCCGATTCGGACTCGCACTCCTCAGAGAGACTCGGCCTCGTACACAGCGATGTGCTTTCCTTTCCCGAGTCGTCCTTGACTGGCAAGCGTTACCTGGTCACGTTTCTTGACGACTTCTCGCGCAAACTGTGGGCATACGCGATCGGACACAAAAGCGAAGTCTTTGGCGTGTTCAAGACATGGCTTGCCGAGGTCGAACTCGAGACGGGTGCAAAACTGAAGGTCCTCCGAACCGACAATGGTGGCGAATACTGTTCGAGAGCGTTCACGGAATTCTGTAAGGCACGCGGCACACGTCGACAATACTCTATCCCTCGAACGCCTCAACAGAACGGTCGTGCCGAACGAGTCAATCGTTCTATCGTCGAAGGTGTCCTTGCCCTCCTTGCAGACGCCCACTTACCCAAATCATTCTGGGAGGAGGCAGCAGCTTATTTCGTCTACTGCAAGAACCTGTGCGAACACTCGGCCCTGGACAAGGCAACACCGAACTTCGCCTGGCAGGGCGACCGCACCAACGCCTCGGCGCTTCACCCGTTCGGCTGCACGGCTTGGCTCACAGTCGCGCCTGAACTTCGCTCGAAACTCGACCCGAAAGCGGTTCGCGTTCTCTTCACCGGCTATGACCTGGCTTCTAAAGCCTTCCGTTTCTACGACACGACGACCAAGAAGATCAGTTTGGGCAGAAATGCCAGGTTCCTCGACAACGAATTTCCCGGGTTACGTAGCGACTCCACCGAGCAAGACGCCGACACGCACTTCGCCAGCGCTTGCCCGACCACCGAATCCCAAGCCGTTGTCAAGACATGGACCCCACTAGTAAGGTCGGCGCACATGGACGTCTCATCCTCTCTTGATGACTCTGCCATGAGCGCCGTTGACGTGGCCCCAGGGTACACTGGCGGAACCTTACTTAATTCCACAGATGCCGAATCGTCCTCGTCACCGTCTCCTGAGCCGTCCTCGTCACCGTCGCCCGCAACCCCCTTGTCACCGTCGCCTGCGCTGTCACCGTCGTTGGCTGCGTCATCGTCACCCTCGGCCTTACCGACCGACTCTGACTACTCCGCCGACCCTCTGGACCTCATCGGCTCACAGACCCCGACTCGCCTCGGCCCACCGGACGTGCACCGCCCAGACTTCAGCACGTACCGTGAGCCCGCATCGGCTGAGGAGTCGCCCGACGAACTCGACATCATTGGGCGCCACTCGCGCGATGAATCGCCGGACGAAATCGATTTCCTCACCCAACACCACCGCGCCTTCATCGCCACCGACGACGACAACTCTGACACAGAAGCCATTCAACCAGTCAAGTCCATCACCAGCGACCCACAGACATGGCGCGAGGCAATGTCGAGTGACAAGCGCGAAGTGTGGGCCAAGGCCGCTACCGACGAGTTCAATTCCATGCGCGACGACTTCAAGGTCTTCACCATCGAGGACCGATCCACGGTACCAGCGGGTGCGACCATCGTCACATCCAAGTTCGTCTGGAAAACGAAACGGAATGCACTCGGCGAAGTCACCGGCCACAAGGCACGGCTCGTGGCGCAGGGAAATCGGCAACGCGACGGCATCGACTTCAACGAAACCTTCGCACCAGTCGCACACTTCTCCTCGATACGCTCACTCCTCGCGCTGGCGGCCGCCAACGGCTTGCACGTGCACCAGGCGGACATCGACAAAGCCTATCTGCATGGCGACCTTGACCATGACATCTGGATGACGACACCGCGCGGCTTCGACCTTCCCACCGACAAGGTGCTTCGTCTGCGACGCTCCATCTACGGACTCAAACAGGCTGGCCGAATCTGGAATCGACACATCGACGCATCGCTTCGAGATCTCGGCTATACGGCGACGGGCACCGACCACTGCGTGTACTCTCGGATCGACGATCGGCGACGCCCACACTACATCGCGCTGTACGTCGACGACCTCCTGATGATCAGCCCCGACTTGGCCGAAATTGAACGTGTCATCTCGGGCCTCGAACAACGCTACGGCGTCAAGCGCCTCGGCCCGGCAGAGTACATCCTCGGCATCCAGATCAGGCGACTCGAAGACGGTTCTATTGCCCTGTCCCAGGAACGGTACATCATGGACGTGCTTGCTCGGTTCCACTTCGACACCACGACTCGCGGCACTACAGTCCCGATGACCCCCGGCCTTTCGCTCACCGCCATCCCGGGTCAAGGCACCGAACGGATCAGGTCATGGTATCTGCAGGCTATCGGCTCGCTCCTCTACATTTCGCTCGGCACCCGCCCCGACATCGCCTTCGCCGTGTCCTACCTGGCCCGCTTCGCCAACAACCCTGGACGTCGTCACTGGATCGCGGTCAAGCACATCCTCCGCTATCTCCGGGCCACATATCGCGACGAACTGGTTTATGCTTGCGGCGAGACACGCATCACGGGCGTGGTTGGCTACTCCGACGCGAACTGGGGGGCCTGCGTCGATACGTCGGTGTCCACTATGGGCTACGTCTTCTACATTGCCGGATCCGCCGTGTCTTGGTCGTCCAAGCGTCAATCTCGAGTTGCCGATTCTACCACCGACGCTGAATACCTCGCCCTCTCGCATGCTGGCAAGGAAGGGATCTACCTCAGTCAGCTGCTCGAGGAGCTCCATGTCCAACCTGTTGCACCGGCTCACATTTTTACTGACAATGAAGCCGCTGCCGCAGTTGCCCACGACCCTGTCCGCGTCTCCGGCACTCGACACATACGCTTGCGCGAGCACTTTGTTCGGGACATGGTGAATCGGGGCGATATCTCACTCTCGCATGTGGGAACCAGCAACATGGTGGCCGACATCTTCACAAAGGCTCTTGGCCCAAAGATTTTCTCGACACACTGCTACGCACTAGGCCTTCGCACTCGACACCCACGGCTTGGATCTGCCTCGCATTCGCGTGGGGGGGGGTGTGAAGAGTCCACTCTCAGCTCGACAGGGGCGCCTCGGTCGTTGCGCGCGCCTGCTAGCCTGGCCCCTGTGGTGGGGACTTAGGCGCGCGCGAGTGCCTCAGCGCGCCGGCGCCGGCGGTTTTCGGGCGCGCGCCGCTAGCCCGCCCTTGCAGTGGGGACTTAGCCGCGCGCGACTGCCTCAGCGCTCCAGCGATTTCGCCCGCGCCTGGGCATATCCCAGCGCGGGCCCCCTTTCCATTTCTTAGCTTCCTTCTCATCACTTCTGTTCGACTCTCGACTTCTCCTGACAGTAGTGGTGATCATCTCATACGTCAATGCGAGAGTAAATGCAGTGATCAGTGCCTGTTGCCTTGTACCCCAGATTCCTGAGTGATGTGTCAATGTGACGATTCCAGATGCGACCGGCCTGCTTGAGACCGTAGATTGAGCGTCGCAGCCGGAGAACCTTATCGCTCGGGAAGTCGAAACCGCGTGGTGTCGTCATCCAGATATCATGATCGAGCTCGCCGTGGAGGTAAGCCTTGTCGATGTCGGCCTGATGAACGTGGTAGCCATTGGCAGCGGCAAGAGCCAGGAGGCAGCGAATGGAGGAGAAACGGGCGACGGGTGCGAAGGTTTCTGAGAAGTCGATGCCGTCGCGCTGTCGGTTACCCTGCGCTACAAGACGTGCCTTCCGCCCCGTGACTTCACCGCTTGCGTTGCGCTTGGTCTTCCAGACGAATTTGGAGGTGACGATGGTGGCGCCCGGCGGTACAGATGAGCGAGGCTCGATGGTGAACACCTTGAAGTCGTCGCGCATGGCGGTGAACTCGGCGGCGGCGGCCTCAGCCCAGATGTTGTGCTCGTCGCTGGACATTGCTTCGCGCCAGGTCTGGGGGTCGCTAGTGATCGATTTGACGGGCTCGATGGCGTCGAGGGTGGGGTCGTCGTCGTCTGTGGCGATGAAGGCGCGGTGGTGTTGGGTGAGGAAATCGATTTCATCCGGCGATTCATCGCGCGAGTGACGCCCAATGATGTCGAGTTCGTCGGGCGACTCCTCAGCCGATGCGGGCTCACGGTACGTGCTGAAGTCTGGGCGGTGCACGTCCGGTGGGCCAAGGCGAGTCGGGGTCTGTGAGCCGATGAGGTCCAGAGGGTCGGCGGAGTAGTCAGAGTCGGTCGGTGAGACCGAGGGTGACGATGACGCTGCCAACGACGGTGACAGCGCAGGCGACGGTGACAAAGGGTTTGTGGGCGACGGTGACGAGGACGGCTCAGGAGACGGTGACGAGGACGATTCGGTATCTGTGGAATTAAGTAAGGTTCCGCCAGTGTACCCTGGGGCCACGTCAACGGCGCTCATGGCAGAATCATCAAGGGAGGATGAGACGTCCATGTGCGCCGACCTTACTAGTGGGGTCCTCGTCTTGACGGCAGGGGCGGGCGTGTCGGCGGGAACGACGAACTGACGGTCGGTGTCGTCTGCATCGACGGGCGTGGTGACTGGCAGGCCGGGGAAGTCGTCGTCGAGGAAGGTGGCATTGCGACCAAGTACAATCTTGTTGATGGAATGGTCAAAGAAACGGAAAGCTTTGGAGGCGAGGTCGTAACCTGTGAAGATCACGCGCGCGGCCTTGGGGTCGAGCTTGCTGCGAAGGTCCGGGGCGACCGTGAGCCAGGCTGTGCAGCCGAACGGGTGGAGGGCGGTGGCGGTGGTGCGTTGGCCGTTCCAAACGGATTCTGGAGTCTGTTTGGCCAAAGCTGAGTGTGAGCACCTGTTTTTGCAATAAACGAAATACGCAGCCGCTTCATCCCAAAAGGTGGCCGGCAGACGGGCGTCCGCAAGGAGAGCGAGGACGCCCTCGACGATGGAGAGGTTGACACGTTCGGCGCGACCGTTTTGTTGAGGCGTGTAAGGGATAGAGTATTGACGACGAATGCCCTTGGATTTGCAGAACTCCGTGAATGCGTTTGATCGGTACTCCCCGCCATTGTCGGTTCGAAGGATCCTCAACCGCGCGTTCGTCTCTAACTCCACTTCGGCGAGCCAAGTCTGGAAGGTCGGGAAAACATCGCTTTTGTGATCGATCGCATATGCCCAGAGTTTGCGAGAGTGGTCGTCTAGAAACGTGACAAGGTAGCGCTTCCCGGTCAAGGACGGAGTGGGGAACGACAGGACGTCGCTGTGCACGAGGCCAAGTCTCTCGGCGGAATGCGACTCAGAGTCGGGAAAGGGAAGGCGGTGACCTTTGGAACCAAGGCAAGCATTGCAAACAAACTCCTCTACGTCTTTGTCACTGTACCCGGCCCCAAACCCGTCCAGCAAACCTGCAGCAATCATCTTCTGTATAGAGGATGGGGCAAGATGGCCGAGGCAGCGGTGTAGGGTAAGCAGGGGCACGGGAGACTCAGAGCGTGAGAGGAAGGCAAGATGCTGACACTTGGTGTGATCCGCGTCCAAAAGGTAAAGACCGTCGTTGACCCTGGTACCGTGAGCAATGGCCCGGCCGTCCTTGGCGATGTCGATGCTGTGAGGAATCCACTCTCCGCTCGGCTCAGGACTTAGGCGCGCGGAGCGAACCGGGCGCGGACTTAGGCGCGCGGAGTGAGCCGGGCGCCCCGGCCCAGGACTTAGGCGCGCGAAGCGAGCCTGGGACTTAGGCGCGCGGAGCGAGCCTGGGCCATTGGCTCAGCCCCAGGCTCGCTGGCTGTGGACTTGGGGCGCGCGGGTCTCTTATTGTTAGCTTCCTATTCATCACTCTTGGCTATAACTACATCGCTGACGTAGTAGAGTTGATCGAATAGGTATGTTGAAATGCATTCATCACTCTTGGCTATAACTACATCGCTGACGTAGTAGAGTTGATCGAATAGGTTATAAGCCCACGAGCTACCAGCCCCGCCGCTTTATGAAGGAACAATATACCACTGCACCAAAAGGCGAGGCACCTCTACTTCAGTGAGCGCATATTGTCCTAGAAGTGAGATGGAGCGAAGTTCAACACGCTTGAGGCTTTTTCGCTCGAGCCCAGCCACTCGAGCCGCACACGTCCATCGCACCATCACATCATGGACAGCTCTCCCGCCTCGCCTTTGGCCCCCAGGGATCCCAGCTCCCCTGAATCTTCGATCGGCGAACAAATCGCCACTCTACAGGCCCAGCTTGCCGCTCTGCAGGCCTCGCAACCCGCCGCCGCCGCAGCCGCCGCACCCCCGGCCGTCACCGTCGTGCCGGGGAACGCCGCCACCGCATCCAAGGTCGTGTTTCCCAAGCACGCTCGTCTGGACGGCCCCAAGTCGTTCACCAACTGGTTGCGTCAACTCCGTCTTGCACTCCCGAACCAGGTTCGTGGTTACGTTCTCGACGGTGTCGTTCCCCCGACCTGGACCGCCGACCAGCTTGCCGCACGTGACGACGCCGCCCGGGAAATCATCGTTGGCTCTATCGACTCCGCCGACGTATCGGCCATGACAGGCAACGTCGGAGGGGATGACGATGACTACACGCGAGAGACGAGGGAGAGAGCGAGAGAGCGCGCGAAAGCGCGAAGGAGCGAAAGGGGTGTCGACCGAGGCGGCGGCAGTCGACCGAGAGGCAACCGCGGAGGATACGCGGCTGCAAGGCTCGCAGCAAGTCCAGTGTACCGAACTATGGTAGCCAACGAGGTCGGACAGAAGAGGGAGGGCAAACGATCCAAGAAATAGCTGACCAGGCCGGTGGGAAGGTCGAGTCGGCTGGGCGGCGGAAGTCGACCGAGAGGCAACCGCGGAGGATACGCGGCTGCAAGGCTCGCAGCAAGTCCAGTGTACCGGACTATGGTGGCCAACGAGGTCGGACAAAAGAGGAAGGGCAAACGATCCAAGAAATAGCTGACCAGGCCGATGGGAAGGTCGAGTCGGCTGGGCGGCGGCAGTCGACCGAGAGCAACCGAGGAGTGGATTCGGTCGGAAGGCTTCGCAGCAAATCAAGTGTAACGGACTTAATTGCCAGCGAAATGGGTAAAAAGAGGGAGGGTACGAGTCATGATAATGAGTGGACCAAGCTCTAGGGGAAGGGTGGCAAAAGCAAAGGGAGGGAAGTGCTCCCAGCGAAGGAAAGACTGAATCAAATAACTACACCACGAGGTCGCTTCAGGGGTAAAAAGGATTGCCTGCAAGGCACCGGTAAAAACCCCGAAGCCGGGCCTCGGATAACAAAAAGGAAAAGAAACCAAAAGGCAGATCACGCTCCGGGCGGATCGAACCCTCGACCACTGAGTGCGCGCCCGCGCGCCCTCACGACTACACCATCGCGCCGACAATGCTTGCAACGAACAAACCGGTAGCTGATGTCGACTCCGGCCGCAAACTTGGGAGACTTCCTTCGAGTATTGATGGCAGTGCAGGCTGTGCTCCTGACAGGCCACCCTCGACGCCATCCCCAGCGACGACCTGTCGGCACCGCGCATCTTTGCCGCTCTCAAGGCTCGTTTTGCACCGGACGACGCTACACGCACTCTCGAGTTGTTCGCTCGCCTTTGGGACTTCAGGAAGATGCCTGCCTCCGTCGAGGCCTACGACACTTGGCTACGCGAGTACATGTCGATTGCTCAGGAAATACGCGACGCCAAAACATCGCTCAACGACGTGCTCGCCACCCACGTGCTCGCCATGGTCCCGTCTTGCCTCGACAGCTTCCGACTCACGTTCACGGACGAGCAGCGAAACCGACGCGACCTTCCCGAACTCACGACGCTTACGGACCGCATTCGCATCCAGCTTCGTTCGGCAGGACTCTCGACCTCGCATTCGGCCATGCTTGCCACCAGCTCCCCCTGCCCCGCCTGCCGCGCTCCCGGTCACCGCCTGCGCGACTGCACTTCACGTGCGAAGCACCCGCCCACCGGCCCCTGCCGCCGATGCCACAAGAAAGGTCACTGGGCACTCGACTGCAAGAACCGGGGTGAACAGGCACGTAGCAGCGACGACACCCAGGACGACACGTCTTCCTCCGCGGCCTCGCAACCGAACGTCGGCTATTTCGCCTCCTGCCTCTTCGCTCGTCGCCAACTCCCAACTGACGCCTTTGTAGTCGATTCGGGTGCCACGACACACATGGTCGCCGACCGATCTCTATTCACGACTTATCGTCAGACGGCACACACCAAGATCGGCGGCATCGCGGGCGGCATCACGGCTATCGGCATGGGGGACGTGGCATTCGTCGCCAAGACTGGACACCCGATCACGCTCCGTGGTGTTCTTCACACGCCTGGCCTACACGTCAACCTCCTCTCTGTCTCTCGCCTCTGCGACACCGACCGCGTTCGTCTCGCCTTCACCAGCGACGGCATCGACATCGCCAAGGACGGCCGGGCCATTGCTCACGGTACCAGGGTCAACGACGGTCTTTACCTTTTGGACGCGGATCACACCAAGTGTCAGCATCTTGCCTTCCTCTCACGCTCTGAGTCTCCCGTGCCCCTGCTTACCCTACACCGCTGCCTCGGCCATCTTGCCCCATCCTCTATACAGAAGATGATTGCTGCAGGTTTGCTGGACGGGTTTGGGGCCGGGTACAGTGACAAAGACGTAGAGGAGTTTGTTTGCAATGCTTGCCTTGGTTCCAAAGGTCACCGCCTTCCCTTTCCCGACTCTGAGTCGCATTCCGCCGAGAGACTTGGCCTCGTGCACAGCGACGTCCTGTCGTTCCCCACTCCGTCCTTGACCGGGAAGCGCTACCTTGTCACGTTTCTAGACGACCACTCTCGCAAACTCTGGGCATATGCGATCGATCACAAAAGCGATGTTTTCCCGACCTTCCAGACTTGGCTCGCCGAAGTGGAGTTAGAGACGAACGCGCGGTTGAGGATCCTTCGAACCGACAATGGCGGGGAGTACCGATCAAACGCATTCACGGAGTTCTGCAAATCCAAGGGCATTCGTCGTCAATACTCTATCCCTTACACGCCTCAACAAAACGGTCGCGCCGAACGTGTCAACCTCTCCATCGTCGAGGGCGTCCTCGCTCTCCTTGCGGACGCCCGTCTGCCGGCCACCTTTTGGGATGAAGCGGCTGCGTATTTCGTTTATTGCAAAAACAGGTGCTCACACTCAGCTTTGGCCAAACAGACTCCAGAATCCGTTTGGAACGGCCAACGCACCACCGCCACCGCCCTCCACCCGTTCGGCTGCACAGCCTGGCTCACGGTCGCCCCGGACCTTCGCAGCAAGCTCGACCCCAAGGCCGCGCGCGTGATCTTCACAGGTTACGACCTCGCCTCCAAAGCTTTCCGTTTCTTTGACCATTCCATCAACAAGATTGTACTTGGTCGCAATGCCACCTTCCTCGACGACGACTTCCCCGGCCTGCCAGTCACCACGCCCGTCGATGCAGACGACACCGACCGTCAGTTCGTCGTTCCCGCCGACACGCCCGCCCCTGCCGTCAAGACGAGGACCCCACTAGTAAGGTCGGCGCACATGGACGTCTCATCCTCCCTTGATGATTCTGCCATGAGCGCCGTTGACGTGGCCCCAGGGTACACTGGCGGAACCTTACTTAATTCCACAGATACCGAATCGTCCTCGTCACCGTCTCCTGAGCCGTCCTCGTCACCGTCGCCCACAAACCCTTTGTCACCGTCGCCTGCGCTGTCACCGTCGTTGGCAGCGTCATCGTCACCCTCGGTCTCACCGACCGACTCTGACTACTCCGCCGACCCTCTGGACCTCATCGGCTCACAGACCCCGACTCGCCTTGGCCCACCGGACGTGCACCGCCCAGACTTCAGCACGTACCGTGAGCCCGCATCGGCTGAGGAGTCGCCCGACGAACTCGACATCATTGGGCGTCACTCGCGCGATGAATCGCCGGATGAAATCGATTTCCTCACCCAACACCACCGCGCCTTCATCGCCACAGACGACGACGAGCACAACATCTGGGCTGAGGCCGCCGCCGCCGAGTTCACCGCCATGCGCGACGACTTCAAGGTGTTCACCATCGAGCCTCGCTCATCTGTACCGCCGGGCGCCACCATCGTCACCTCCAAATTCGTCTGGAAGACCAAGCGCAACGCAAGCGGTGAAGTCACGGGGCGGAAGGCATGTCTTGTAGCGCAGGGTAACCGACAGCGCGACGGCATCGACTTCTCAGAAACCTTCGCACCCGTCGCCCGTTTCTCCTCCATTCGCTGCCTCCTGGCTCTTGCCGCTGCCAATGGCTACCACGTTCATCAGGCCGACATCGACAAGGCTTACCTCCACGGCGAGCTCGATCATGATATCTGGATGACGACACCACGCGGTTTCGACTTCCCGAGCGATAAGGTTCTCCGGCTGCGACGCTCAATCTACGGTCTCAAGCAGGCCGGTCGCATCTGGAATCGTCACATTGACACATCACTCAGGAATCTGGGGTACAAGGCAACAGGCACTGATCACTGCATTTACTCTCGCATTGACGATCAGCAGCGGCCTCACTATATCGCCTTGTATGTCGACGACCTCCTCATTGTCAGTCCAGCCCTCGACGAGATCGAACGTGTCATCTCCGGCCTTGAACAGCGGTACGGCGTCAAACGACTCGGCCCCGCGGAGTACATCCTCGGAATCCAAATACGCCGCCTGGACGACGGTTCCATTGCTCTATCCCAGGAGCGCTACATCATGGACGTGCTGGCCCGTTTCCACTTCGACACCACGACACGCGGCACTACGGTGCCGATGACGCCCGGCCTCTCGCTCACGGCAATTCCGGGTCAGGGAACGGAGCGCATTCGTTCGTGGTACCTACAGGCCATCGGCTCCCTCCTCTACATCTCCCTTGGCACTCGACCCGACATTGCCTTCGCCGTCTCGTACCTGTCCCGGTTCGCCAACAACCCCGGCCGCCGCCATTGGATTGCCGTCAAACACGTCCTTCGCTACCTTCGCGCCACGTACCGCGATGAGCTTCTCTATGCCCGCGGCCCAGCAAAAGTCACGGGTGTGGTTGGTTATTCTGATGCGAACTGGGGCGCCTGCGTCGACACATCCATTTCAACGATGGGCTACGTATTTTACTTGGCAGGCGCCGCTGTCTCTTGGTCGTCGAAGCGTCAGACTCGGGTAGCGGATTCCACCACTGATGCCGAGTACCTGGCCTTGTCGCACGCGGGTAAGGAAGCGATCTACCTTAACCAACTCCTCTCCGAGCTCCACGTTTGCCCAATCGCTGCAGCTCACATCTTCACCGACAACGAGGCCGCGGCCGCCGTCGCTCACGACCCCGTTCGCACCTCCGGCACCCGGCACATTCGCCTCCGCGAGCATTTTGTCCGTGACATGGTCAATCGAGGTGATATCTCTCTCTCACACGTTGGCACAGCAGACATGGTTGCGGACGTATTCACCAAAGCGCTAGGCCCCAAGATTTTTGGTACACATTGCTATGCTCTAGGCCTCCGGACGCGACATCCACGGCTCAAGTCTACCTCGCGTTCGCGTGGGGGGGGGGGTGTGAGGAATCCACTCTCCGCTCGGCTCAGGACTTAGGCGCGCGGAGCGAACCGGGCGCGGACTTAGGCGCGCGGAGTGAGCCGGGCGCCCCGGCCCAGGACTTAGGCGCGCGAAGCGAGCCTGGGACTTAGGCGCGCGGAGCGAGCCTGGGCCATTGGCTCAGCCCCAGGCTCGCTGGCTGTGGACTTGGGGCGCGCGGGTCTCTTATTGTTAGCTTCCTATTCATCACTCTTGGCTATAACTACATCGCTGACGTAGTAGAGTTGATCGAATAGGTATGTTGAAATGCATTCATCACTCTTGGCTATAACTACATCGCTGACGTAGTAGAGTTGATCGAATAGATGCCGTCGCTGGTGAAGGCGAGACGAACGCGGTCGGTGTCGCAGAGGCGAGAGACAGAGAGGAGGTTGACGTGTAGGCCAGGCGTGTGAAGAACACCACGGAGCGTGATCGGGTGTCCAGTCTTGGCGACGAATGCCACGTCCCCCATGCCGATAGCCGTGATGCCGCCCGCGATGCCGCCGATCTTGGTGTGTGCCGTCTGACGATAAGTCGTGAATAGAGATCGGTCGGCGACCATGTGTGTCGTGGCACCCGAATCGACTACAAAGGCGTCAGTTGGGAGTTGGCGACGAGCGAAGAGGCAGGAGGCGAAATAGCCGACGTTCGGTTGCGAGGCCGCGGAGGAAGACGTGTCGTCCTGGGTGTCGTCGCTGCTACGTGCCTGTTCACCCCGGTTCTTGCAGTCGAGTGCCCAGTGACCTTTCTTGTGGCATCGGCGGCAGGGGCCGGTGGGCGGGTGCTTCGCACGTGAAGTGCAGTCGCGCAGGCGGTGACCGGGAGCGCGGCAGGCGGGGCAGGGGGAGCTGGTGGCAAGCATGGCCGAATGCGAGGTCGAGAGTCCTGCCGAACGAAGCTGGATGCGAATGCGGTCCGTAAGCGTCGTGAGTTCGGGAAGGTCGCGTCGGTTTCGCTGCTCGTCCGTGAACGTGAGTCGGAAGCTGTCGAGGCAAGACGGGACCATGGCGAGCACGTGGGTGGCGAGCACGTCGTTGAGCGATGTTTTGGCGTCGCGTATTTCCTGAGCAATCGACATGTACTCGCGTAGCCAAGTGTCGTAGGCCTCGACGGAGGCAGGCATCTTCCTGAAGTCCCAAAGGCGAGCGAACAACTCGAGAGTGCGTGTAGCGTCGTCCGGTGCAAAACGAGCCTTGAGAGCGGCAAAGATGCGCGGTGCCGACAGGTCGTCGCTGGGGATGGCGTCGAGGGTGGCCGATACGTCGGCGGAGTCGATAGAGCCAACGATGATTTCCCGGGCGGCGTCGTCACGTGCGGCAAGCTGGTCGGCGGTCCAGGTCGGGGGAACGACACCGTCGAGAACGTAACCACGAACCTGGTTCGGGAGTGCAAGACGGAGTTGACGCAACCAGTTGGTGAACGACTTGGGGCCGTCCAGACGAGCGTGCTTGGGAAACACGACCTTGGATGCGGTGGCGGCGTTCCCCGGCACGACGGTGACGGCCGGGGGTGCGGCGGCTGCGGCGGCGGCGGGTTGCGAGGCCTGCAGAGCGGCAAGCTGGGCCTGTAGAGTGGCGATTTGTTCGCCGATCGAAGATTCAGGGGAGCTGGGATCCCTGGGGGCCAAAGGCGAGGCGGGAGAGCTGTCCATGATGTGATGGTGCGATGGACGTGTGCGGCTCGAGTGGCTGGGCTCGAGCGAAAAAGCCTCAAGCGGCGGGGCTGGTAGCTCGTGGGCTTATAACCTATTCGATCAACTCTACTACGTCAGCGATGTAGTTATAGCCAAGAGTGATGAATGCATTTCAACATACCTATTCGATCAACTCTACTACGTCAGCGATGTAGTTATAGCCAAGAGTGATGAATAGGAAGCTAACAATAAGAGACCCGCGCGCCCCAAGTCCACAGCCAGCGAGCCTGGGGCTGAGCCAATGGCCCAGGCTCGCTCCGCGCGCCTAAGTCCCAGGCTCGCTTCGCGCGCCTAAGTCCTGGGCCGGGGCGCCCGGCTCACTCCGCGCGCCTAAGTCCGCGCCCGGTTCGCTCCGCGCGCCTAAGTCCTGAGCCGAGCGGAGAGTGGATTCCTCACACCAGAAGGTAGCGCCCACGCGATGACGTTGCGGGCGCGTACAATGGCGGGCTCGACAGGTCGGTCGGGTTCGTCGATGTCGATCAGGGGCGCAGCGGACGCCAAGAGAGACACACCCGACGGCACAAGAATCTGGAAAGAGCTCACCGAAGCAGTCCTTTCCGCCTTGCGAGACGACACCACTTCCGGCCCCGGATAATGACACAAGCGCGACGCGGCATCAGCGTAGTACAAGACATCTTCCACCGCGTCAATCACGATGTCAGCCAGGCTATCGTCGAGACGATGTTGATCTGCATCATTTGCCGGCACGGTTGGATGCGAACTACTTGATGAGGTCTGAACTGTTGAATTCCATACACTCTTGCTTAGGTCGATCTCCAGCCCGCGCCCAGCCTAGCCAGCCGCGCGCCGCTCGGACCCCTTTTGGACTTAGAGATATTTCGCGCACTCGCACCGCGAGCCTCTTTAGTCTTCCCCCTAACGCTCCAAACTACTTCCTAACACTCGTACTGTGTCTCGTGTACTCACTGGTTGCCGATCCAGTCCCCTCTCGAGACACACTGACAAGCGACGTCGGAGGGGATGACGTCGTCTACACGCGTTGGTACGGGGGGGGGGGGGATTTCAGGAAGTGTCGGCTGTTGCGGCGGCAGTCGACAAGGGAGCAACCGAGGAGGGGAGTCGGTCGAAAGGCTCGCAGGAAATCAAGTGTAACGGACTTAATTCCCAAACGATCGACAAGAAGAGGAGGGGCAACAACAGAGAAGAGCGGACCAAGCTCCCGGGGAAAGGTGGTAAAACTAAAGGGAAGGGACTGTGCCAGGCCCAGAGGGGACTTAGCCAAATCAACCACTCCAAGAGGTCGCCTCAGGGGTAAAAAGGATTGCTCGCGGGAGCACCGGTAAAAACCCTGAAGCCGCGCCTCGGCTAACAAAAGATAAAACAAACCGAAAGAAGACTGCGGTCTGGGCGCCTCGAACCCGCGACCACCGAGTGCGCGCCCGCGCGCCTCACGACTACGCCATCGCACCGACGATGCTGTGAACCGAGGCAAGCCTCTGGTCAAGTCAACTCTACCCGCACATAGCCTTGGGGGGCTTCCTTCAAGTACACGCTGTCATCCTGACACTTTTGGTGGGTGCGCTGCAGAAGGAAGTAGTCAAGTCGTGAAAAGGACTTTGGTCGCTTGCGGACGATGTTGGGTCGAGTGAAAGATGGTGTGAGCGGGTGTTTGAATCGTATGCAGTCGGTGTAGGGCGAGTCGAGCTTGCCGATCAGGATCGGCCAGTGATGGCCGTGCCGACCTTGGTTCCGCCGATCGATCGCCGGCAGCGGGCAGTCGTTGAGATCGCCGCCGAGGAGTCGAAGGTGGGTGCTCTGCGTCCTGTGGAAATGTAGTTTGTCAAAGAATGTGAGTCGTTGTTTTGTATCGACTGGTGCGTAAATGTTGTTGATCTCGAGTATCCGGATGTCGCCTCGAAGTCGAAAGGAGGTGACCAGGATTCGTCCGTCGAGTGCCGAGTGGGTGCGCAAAATCTCGGCGTCGATCAGGGGCGAGTCGGCGGGGATCAGAGTCAGACAGTGTTTGCTGATGAAGACCTTGCCCTCGTACTCGTCCTTGATACATTGCCAGAGTTCCGGTTTGATGAAGTGTTCTTGTAGTAGAATGGCGGATGCTTTGAATGTTGATAAATAGGTGTAAATGTTGTGTCGCTTTTCTGGGATCCCCATGCACCTCCTCACGTTCCAGCTGGTGATGGTGTGCTTGATCATTATTGGGTAGACGATGTAGACGTGCTCTTGGCGGTAGTGTCGTCCTCAAAGAGTGGGAATTCGGGGAGAATGTCATCCTCGGGTTCGTGGTCGGACCAGCACTTCTCCTCCTCCACCCCTTTACCCTTCTCCGCTTTTGCCTTGGCCCCCTCGACCTGCATTGCCGCCGCCGCTGACATCGACCTCGTCACCCTCTTCCCCTGACCCGCTATGTCAGGCAAACAGCGATACACTGACAGCAACACTCGAAGGAAGTCCCTGAGGTAATGTGCAGGTAGAGTTGAGGTCACCAAATGCTTCCCTCCATTCAAGCATTGTGGGCGTGATGGCGTAGTCGTTCGGCGCGCGGGCGCGCACTTAATGGTCGCGGGTTCAAGGCGCGCAGAGCGCAATCTTCTCTCGGTTTTTGTTCTTTTTGTTAGCTGAGGCGCGGCCTCAGGGTTTTTACCGGTGCTCCCGCGAGCAATCCTTTTTCCCCCTGAGGCGACCTCTTGGAGTAGCTGAATTGGCTAAGTCCCCTCTGCGCCTGAGTGCCTCCCTTTTGTTTTTAGCACCTTCCCACTCAGCCTGGTCCGCCACATCTCCCAAGATCCCTTCACCTTCATCCTTCGTTTTCGATCTCGTTGGCAATAAAGTCCGATATACTTGACTTGCTGCGAGCCTCACAACCGCGTCCCCTCCTCGGTTGTCCCTCGGTCGCCTGCCCCCGCCCAGTCGACCTTCCTTCGGCCTGATCCCCTCCTCCGCGTGTAGTCAACGTCTTCTGAAGAGGACGTTGCCTGCCACGCTACCTCCTTTCCTGCTCGACCTTTGACCCTGTTCAGAACGCGCTTGATATTGACCGGGTCGTCGCTCGGATCGCTGAGATCGGCCACCGTTTGCGACCTCTTCATCTTCTTGTTCGACCCGGAGCCGGTGCCACGAATGTTGATGAATCGCAGTTGTCCATCTTCCTGACCCCACTCTGCAAATTGGTGGCGAACGAGCGGTTCCTCCGCGTCGAGTTGGGCGTTGATGATCGCCTCCTTTTCTGCTTGGACACGTGCAGCAGCTTCGGCGTTAGCTCGGTCCCACTCCGCACCCTCGCGTAGCGACTTTGCCAACATCTCAGGAGATAGCGGAGGCCACATTTTTATTTTATTTACTGGGGCTCATAAATTGCAATCCTTCGGGTTGGCTGGGACCGCTACAAAAAGAGCTAAAAGAGGTTATAAAGCAACGGCGGCAAGCAATTGGGTGAAAGTCAAACCCCTGCGTGCAAAGAGCGCTGTGCAGATCAAAACCCGCCGAGCACCTAACGCGGACTCCAACGGGCGGTGAGTACTGCTGCCGCTTCACGTCCCAAGAGCGGGAGCGAAGATACTCGAAAACCAGGCAAGAGCGCCTAGAGAAAGAAAAGGGGAGAATATACAAAAATTCACGACTGGAAACACGGAGAACCAGGAATACTAAGACAGAGAGGAGGGGAGGAGGAGGGGAACACACCCGAGGGGCCAAGGGAGGGGGTCGAAGCCAGAGCTAGAGGTCCCCAGTGTCAGGAGCACAGCCTGCACTGCCATCAATACTCGAAGGAAGTCTCCCAAGTTTGCGGCCGGAGTCGACATCAGCTACCGGTTTGTTCGTTGCAAGCATTGTCGGCGCGATGGTGTAGTCGTGAGGGCGCGCGGGCGCGCACTCAGTGGTCGAGGGTTCGATCCGCCCGGAGCGTGATCTGCCTTTTGGTTTCTTTTCCTTTTTGTTATCCGAGGCCCGGCTTCGGGGTTTTTACCGGTGCCTTGCAGGCAATCCTTTTTACCCCTGAAGCGACCTCGTGGTGTAGTTATTTGATTCAGTCTTTCCTTCGCTCGGAGCACTTCCCTCCTTTTGCTTTGGCCACCCTTCCCCTAGAGCTTGGTCCACTCATTATCATGACTCGTACCCTCCCTCTTTTTACCCATTTCGCTGGCAATTAAGTCCGTTACACTTGATTTGCTGCGAAGCCTTCCGACCGAATCCACTCCTCGGTTGCTCTCGGTCGACTGCCGCCGCCTCGGTCGACACCCCCTTCGCTCCTTCGCGCTTTCGCGCGCTCTCTCGCTCTCTCCCTCGTCTCTCGCGTGTAGTCATCGTCATCCCCTCCGACGTTGCCTGTCACCCAGGGACTGACAGGCCGCAGCCAAGCCCCAGCTACTCGTCACCCCGACAGCGCCTGATGTCCTCCCTTGGCTGAGTCTCGAGTGCTGGCTGTTGAGCCGTCGGGGCCGAGCGAAAATGATCCAATACAACGAAACAAGCCTTGCCTTGACGCGAGGATATTGACCAAAAAAATGAGTGACCTTTCTTCCCGATCCATGCTGTAGATCTTGACCAACGCGAACGAACGATCTATTCGACGGAATCCAACACACGGCTTAGGAATAAAAGGAGAAGTGGCTGAAGCGTAGTCAACAACCGAGCAACAGGAACGAGAAGAGGAAGGGAAGGGAGAAAGGGGAAAGAGAGGGGAGAACTTCACAAAGCCTCCAACGCAACGACGATCGACCCGGCTTGCCGATCCATCCAAGAACGAAAACCACTACTGCACAAAGTAGAGAGAGGGAGAAGTGCGCAGCCTTCCACTGCGCAACAAGTTTCAAGACAGTCAGCTTCTGACCGGAAAGGAAGGGAGGAAAATGGGAAGGAAGGACTTAACTCGGTCATCACACCTCCCAATCTCGAACCCCAGGCACAAAACCCGCTCGAGAGAGAAAATCTCGCTCGAACGCTCTGAGCGCACTGGGAAGCGAGGGAGGGGCCATGACGTTGTCCAGCTCGAACCGCTGATGAACGCGCCAGCGGAGCAGGTGCAGCCGCTGGAAGCCGATCGCGCAGGCCAGCCGAACCCACATCCATTTTGAGGTCGTTCTCCCACGACCCCGCAAAAGGGGGAGCCCCATAGTCAGCTGCTCCGGAGTGAACGTCGACGGATCGACGTCGGTATCCTCGATGCCGAGCTTGTCAAGCAGAATGCGTAGCACCCCACCCCAGAAGCTGGTCGAGTACGCGCACTCGAAAAAGTAGTGGGACACCGTCTCGATGACCGCTGCATCGTTGCCACAGAACAGACACGTCGGCGAAGAGGCATGACCCTGAGTATGCTGCCTCTTGCGCGTCGGCGTCACGTCGTACATGAGCCGCCAGTGGGTGTCCTGCTCGACAGCAGACGCGAACCGGTCACGAAGCCATCTCCAGAAGCGCTTCCTATCGCTCTGAGAAGTCCCATCAGGGAAACGCTTGACACGGTCCTCCCTCCCTGGGAACCGCACCTTGTTCACAAGCCGACGAAGCTTGCGAATCGTAAAAGGTCGGGAGAGCCCAAAGAAGTTGAAGCACCGAGGACGGGGAGCCTCCTTGAGAGGTATCCGAGCAGGTCGCAACGCGGTCTTGGGCAGCAACGCTTTCGCCTTGAGCAACTGACCCACGCGCGACCACACGTGCTCGTGCTGTAGGGCGGATTCCTTAGAGTGCTGCCAGAACCCGCGTCGATGACCAACCAGAGCCCATCCCTTCCCTTCGTCCCTCCAGTACAGGTCCGCGATCTGCGCAAACTTCGCCACCGCGTCCGCATCGTCATATGCGTGCTGGGCACCTTCAGCATAGAGTGAAGGGAGGCGAGGCGGAAGCGAGAGCAATTCGGGAAGCGTAAGGAGTTCGGACTTGATGGTTGGAACTGTGACCCTGGCCGCTGCAACGACTGCCCCCCAGCGTGTCGAGTCGCGATACAGCTTCTCGACCCGAGCCGTGCTGCTGAAGAACCTCCACGGACTGAAATCGCGGGTCGCAGCGACGAGGCACCTCCAGCTCTCGCGAGCTAGGGGCGCCCAGATCGCCTCGTCCGAGCCCGCCACAGCATCCCAAAATCGAAGCGCCACCGAATGAACGATGTCGCCAATCGAAATCAAACCCAAGCCACCGTCCTCCCGAGCCTGGAACACGAAATCGCGAGCGACGGTATTTCGCCCTGCTCCTCCCCAGACAAAGTCCGTAAGTGCCGTCTCCGCCGCCTTAATGAACCATTGAGGCGGTATGTCGAAGGACAGCACGTGGAGGACCGTCGAGATGATGTGAGCGTTGGCATAGAAAACCTTCCCACTCGGCGAAAGTGTCCGGTCTCGAGCGGCGCGGGTCTTGGCCTTGATCCTGTCAAGAACATGGGTCCAAAACAGTTTCGAGTCACCGTGGCGAAAGAAGGCATAACCGCACCACTTGAAGCTCTCCCCCTCCTGCACCGTTGGCAGCGCCTGCGCAGTCTCGTCCCGAAGCCAGTTCGGTCCGAGTGGTAGCACCAGCGTCTTGTCCGTGTTGGTCTTCCCGTTGGTAGCCTCGTACCACGTCTGCAACAGCGTTTGCAGCTTCGACAATGCCGCCGGTGACTCCACCACCACCACAGCATCGTCGGCAAACGCCAGATGCGTAAGCTGCGCACGCGGCCCCCCTGGCCACACCTTCTGCAGGTCGAGCGCGATCCCGCGCCGAACGAGGGCGTCGAGGAAGGGCTGGAACGTGATGTTCCAAACCGGGCACGAGAGGGGATCCCCTTGACCGAGACCACACAGCAACCGCACCAAGTCCGTGGGGAACCCATTGACAAGGTAGCGCACCCCCAGAGTCTCGGGATCGTAGAGAGCGCGCAGCAGCGAGATGAAACGCTCACCGAACCCAAAGGCCTCAAAGACCTCGAAGATCCAGGCGTGATCGACCCGATCGTACGCGCTCTGCTGATCCAAAGACAAGAGGGCGCCCTCGGGGAAAACATCAGTGCCTAGCGACTTGAGTTTTTCGAGAAGGAGAGTGAGATGACTTCCCGCGTCCGCTGAACGTCTTGATGGCATGAAACCGTGTTGCGCCGGCGGTAAAAGCTCGCCGAGCACCCCATTGAGTCGCGCCACCAAGACCTTGCTGAGGACCTTGTAGGTCGTCTCGCGCAATGTGATCGGTCGGTATGCCCCCAGTGATTTCAGATTGGCCCCCGGTTTATTCTTGGGCAAGAGCCGCACCAGCCCCTCTGCCAAGGACGCCGTCATTTTGCCGCCCTCCCAAATCGAGTTGAACAAGTCCAACAGCTTGGGAGCAAAGTAGGTTGGCAGCGCCTTGAAGAGCTCGTACGGAATGCCCGAGGGCCCCGGTGATCGCCCCGAATCCGTCTTCTTCAACGCCGCTTCAACCTCGAGGAGGGTGAAGGGCTCGTCAAGCGCCACTCTCGCTTGACGAGGCAGCCGACGACCGAACGTAGGGTCCGAGCGGTCGTCATCGTAGCATTTCGCTGCGCGAATAGGGTCGAGCAGGGACCGGCGTGCGTTCGTCGGGTCGCCACGAGCTGGGTCCGGCGTGAAGAGCGACTGCGCGTGCCGTGAAGCAATACCCAGCGCCTCCTGCATGTCAACGGTCTCGGTGCCATCCACATCCTCCAGCGAGACGATGCTCGTCTGGCGACTCCGGCGGTTGAGGCGCGTGCGAATGCTTGCCGATTGACCTTCCCTCGAGTCGACTGACGGCACATGCGCACGAATGCGCAGCCACTGAGCCTCCTTTACCGCCAACTGGTCCAACCGCGACTTGGCAAGAGCATACGCATCGCGCTCGGCCTCATTCATGTGCTCACCGCGTGCCTCCAAAGCCTCCATGACGGATTGGCTCTCGGCCCGCAGTCGGCGCATGTCGGCACGAGTCGAGCGGTATCGTGCATGGCCAGCGACTGCAACCGCCCGCAGAGCGGCGTCATAGACGTCGCCGAGCGGAGCGGTCCCCTCGAGCCTTCGATAGACCTCGTCGACGACCCCGGGAATCGATGCGACAAAGTCTTGATCGTCAAAGACCATTGGGTTGAGCCTCGAAATGAAATCGCTCGTGGAGGGAAGAGAAAGGGGGGGTTCAGCATCAGCGTTCGATGTAGGCAAAGCAAAAGTCGCAACTACAGGTCTGTGGTCCGAACAGGGCGCATCGAAGAGCGTAGAAGCGCTCAACAACCGGTTCGCCCAACTGCATTGGACAAGAATATAGTCGATCCGCGACCACGAGCAAATCTTTCGCTCTTCCCCTCTACCACGGTAGTGAGGACGAGTGAATGCAGGGGTGCAAGGATGGACATGTCGGACCGTGTCGAGTGCCTTGAACGCGATCTTTGACAGCAAGGTCTGCCAGTGCGATACAGGAGTCCAAGCGCGATCGGTGATGGACACTCGGTCGACCGATACATCCGGACAATCGTTGAGATCGCCGGCCAAGATCCGAAGAATCTTGGGTCTCGGGGCGTTGAAGTGCAGAAGCCCGAAAAAGTCGCGACGATCGTCCTCCTGCACCGGCGCGTACATGTTGATGATCTCGACATCGAGCTCCTCAAGACGAAACACCGAGCGCAGAATCCGACCGTCGAAACGAGGAGCTCCTGCAAAGACGACCGGGGTAGAGGAAAGGAGATGGCCCACCAAAGGTGAGCCATCGGGTATGAGGGTAAGGACATGAGGAGTGAAACGAATAGAAGCCCCCGGCCAAGCACTCTCGAAGCCTTCGCGCGACGCGTTGTAGCTGAGGTGGTGCTCTTGCAGGAGGATGGCCGCAGGGGCCGGCCGAAGGGTTTTGAGATAACGGATGATTTTGACTTGGTTGACTGCGTTCTTCATCGATCGGACGTTGAACGTCAACACGGTGAGTGACTCAATCATGATTAAATCAGTTCAGCGCCGCCCCCCTCGAATTCGGTCACCTCGGACCTGTGACCCCCTGAACTGTTGCCCCCTGAGCCATCACCCCCTGATGCACCGAGGATCATGGCGGATCCCGCCCGGGTGACACGTCGGTTGCCGGGTGCCGAGCTCGAACGAAGGCGTCGAGGACTCGTCGAGGCTATCGAGGTTGTCGAGGTTGCCGATGATCCCGACGTGCCACCGGACAAAGGCGAAGGAGAGGTCGGGGTCGAAACGGGCGCCGCCGTCGTCGTCTGCGTCTCCTTTGTTGAGCCCAGGGTCGCACGCGTCGACGTCTCTTCCCCAGTGTCGCCGCCCTCCGGTTCGGTCGAAACGACCGACTCGTCATCGCCGTCGTTCACGTCGTCCTTGTTGGCGGTTACTGCACCTGTGGGGTTAGCACGAGGTCCCAGCTGGATCATGTTCGCGCCAGAGACACGAGAGTTCAATGCGGCAGGCCCACCGTGCTTCCCATTCTTTCCAGCAACTCGGAAGCCGGTGGTCGAAGTCGAAGTCGAGGTCGAGGCCCCCGGAACAGGGGCAGCGGTGGCCGGAGTCGAAACCGGCTTCCTGCAAGCGCCCCACTGGTGTCCGGCGCGATCGCACACCGCGCAGTAGTGCGTCTCGAATTCGTGTCGCAAGCCGTACTTGGCGCCCAGGATCTCGATCTCTTGTGGCAAAGCGGCGTTGAGCGCGGCCTTCTGCGTCTCGATGGAGCCTTGGAAAAGATCAGCATGTAAGCGAAGGTACGCGCAGTGGAACCCGTCTTCGGTCATGGCCATCGGATCGCCATTCGGATCGACCGCGAGGCCCCGCTGTAATTGCATCAGGGTATAACCTTGCGTGCGACCTGCGCGGCCGAACGAAAGGGTGATAGCATCATCGAGAGATTTTCGGAGCACGGAAGCGGGGATCGCGCTGGAGGAGGAGGGCAAGGTGAATCGCACCTGCACGACGTGGTTAAGGGGAGAGGCGCTGGGGAGCTCGGTAACCATCTCCTTGCCGTGGTAGGGGAATGGGCCCGCTGAAGCGGCTTCAAGACAAGCTTGCTCGGATTCGAATACAAGCTCGTACATGTGACGAGCGATCGGGAACCTCTTCGTGGCTTTCGTCACAATCGGGTTCAGCTTCACGCATTTCGAGAAAAGCTTCTCGACCTTGGGGTCAAGCACGACGCCCTCGGGCCGCGCGAACATGAACGGCGTCTCGGCCAATCCAAAGTGCTTGCGCAGCGCGGTCTGTACAGGACCTCTGGGTGATCCAGGACCATCCATAATGACTCGAATCACATTGGAGGCCGGGGCTGCGTCGTTTCGCACCGCTCTTTGGGCGGCTCGTGCGAGCGCTGGCGCCTGCGAAGGCGGGGTCGAGGCGTCGTGCATCAGGACCATCAGTCGGCGGGTCGACTTGCTGGAGGGAACAATCCCGAGCACTTGGAAGGTCTTCTTCATCAGCTTCTCATGATCCAACCGGACCTGAGTTGCCTCGGGCGACCAAGCTGGAGGATTCGCGGTTCCTCCAGTGACCGCTTCACGCGTTTGCGTGTTGAGTGATGAATCACTCGCGCCATTACCACCCAATAGGTCCTCGGGCGGGGGCGCATCGGCGCCGGGCGGATCCGGCATCGCGTGTTTGTGTTGACCTGTAAAGCTTAACGGGCTTGGAGGTCAACTACTCACTCTACACCACAGAAACTCACTTGTGTGTGTGTGTGTGTGTGTGTGTTTTTTTTTTTTTGTAGAAACCGTTCATCATATTGCCCCCAATTCCTGTTCCCCTGATTGGCCTACGGAAAAACTAGATGGAAGTCGACGATGATAACACAAACCGCCCGCAAGATGCGAGAAACGGGCCAAGTCCACCAATCCGATACTTCGGATTCAAGTGCCCCAGCCAAGCGGTTGCTCCCCCCAGGAGACGAATGAGAGAGAGAATATGAAAAAGAACTGGCGTACTAACGACAAGAGGCCCACCCCGCACCCACTTCCCAACTCGGTCGAGACAAAGACAGGAGAGCGACTGCGCAGCTACCCTGACCCGCGAAATCCCAAGTCTATGCTCGGTCACAACAAGACGCGGTGGAGGCCCCTCAAAACCTCCACCTCAGCAGTCCCTGGCCCCTCAAAGCCGACTTTCTGCCTGTGTCTGCTGATCCCTCCCTTAAACTCAGAACCCCGAAGCCAGAGAGCGCGAGCCACCGTCGAGTCAATCCCAAAACGCAAGCCGGTCCATGAGCAACGGAGGCAGACCTGTAATAAAAGAAAGATGAAGAAAAGATATTTAGTATACAGTTTTTGTAAGAGGATGTGTGATGTGGGTGTGTGTGCGTGTGGAGTGGGGTGGGGGGAAATCGAACCTAGCCTCTACTGCCCTCGCCTGCCTCTTGCTCCTCCCGCCCTCAACTTCATCCTCTCCTCCAGTACCACCCTCCTCCTCTCCACGCTTTCCATCCTCGTCCCGTGCTTCTGCATCCTCCATCTCCCACTGCTGATCATCTCCAAAACCATCCCCGTGAAGATCTCGATCGTCCTGCCCGCGCCTTCCTGTGCGCTGAGCTTGGCCTTGAGCTTGGGGAGGCCAAAGAGTCGTTGAAGCGTCGTGTACTCGGCGCCCTCGATCGTGTCGCATCCGAGCGCGTCGCAGAGCACGCCCCTCGCCGCGATCCAGACGTTTCGCGAGTCGAAGCAGCCGAAGAAGTAGTGATCGGTGTCGTCCACCGGCGCTTCGCAGACGAAGCACGCGGGAGAAGTGTCGTGCTTTTGCTCGTGCTGGAGTTTGCGCGTCGGGGTGAAGCGGAGGATCAGCTTGAACCAAACTTCCCTCTCCCTCGCCGTCAGTGCCTTCGAGTTGACTGCCTTCCAGAAGCTCCTGAGGTCGTCCGGCTGCGGTGGTCCCTTGAGCCCGAGCATGTTGGTAAATGCCTTCGCGTTCAGGACCCGGCGGATGCGACGGACTGTGTAGGGGCGAGCCATGTTCAGCAGCGTATACTGGCTCGCCTGTTGTGGAAGCACCGGGTCCGGAAGGCGCTGCTCCATTGCGAAGCGGGCCACGGGCTTGGGGATGATCGCCTCGAGTGGTGCGCTGGTGCCGATCCGGGGAGGCACGTTGAGTCGTCCCGCCGCCACCGCCGCCGCCAAGGGGGTGTTCTTGTGTCGATCGACAGTGAACCGGTACCAGGCCGCGATTGCCAGTCGCTGCGGGAGCCCGCGTCGATCGTACTCGCTGTTGTCGCCGAGCACATCCGCCGGCGGCGTCCAGAGGTGAAACCCCCCACCCGCATACAACTTGCGTCGATAGAGATCCGCCACCTTCGGGTAGCCCTGGAGACGAAGGTAGTCAGGTACATGAACCGCGTCGATGGTCTGTCTCCCTCTGATGGGGGTGTGGAGGCTGCCGAGCAGGGTGGGCAGCGCGAGCAAGTTCGCGGTGGTCAAGGCCCTCGGGTTGACCTGCGCGTCGTGAAGTTTCGGAACGCCCAGTGCGGCGTGCCATCGGGGATGAAGGTCGTTGGGGATGGGAGTGGATGGATGTGGCCAGAGATCGGTGGCCAGGTCGAGGTCGGGCTGAGCTCGCTGGAGTGATGCGCGCGCAAGTCCTTGCCAAATTGCGCCGGAACCGCCGAGAAGAACGTCCCAGAGCCGTGCCGCAACCGCGTCCACAATGTCCCGCATCCTTATCACCCCGAGTCCCCCCTTGTTCTTGGCGGTGAACACAATGTCTCTGCCGTAGCTGGTCCTGCCCTTGCCCCCACGGACGAAATCGACGAGCATGTCATCGAGCTTCTTGACGACTTCGGGCGGCGGGATGTCGGCTGCAAGGAAATGCAGGATCTTGGGAATGGCGTACCGATTGACGTAAAAGGCACGGGTGTGGTGCGTGAGCCAGCGATGCTGAACCGCTTCCAGCGTCGCCTCGAGCCGTTCGATGAGATTCGCGTAGGCGAGTTCGGTGTCGCCGCTGGGGTCGAAGGGGAGGCCGATCCACTCGAGCGACTCGCCTGCGGCCTTGACGACGATTGGCCGTTCCCCAGGGTCCCAGCGACGTCCAATCGGTAGGACGACCGTCTTGTCCGTGTTGAGCCGGCCATTCGTTGCATGCCTCCAGTCGAGCGCCAGGTCATCGAGCAAGTTGAGTGACTCCAAGCCCGCGACGGCGACGACAACGTCATCAGCAAATGCAAGTGATGTAATGGCGCGGCTCTGTGGGTACGGATGAAGTGCAGGTATGGAGAGATTCAGCGCGATGTTTCGACGGTGTAGAGCATCCAGGAACGGCTGAAACACGATGTCCCAGACCGACGATGACGCCGGGTCCCCTTGGCCGAGCCCACACGTCAGTCGCACCGGCGCCGTCAGGAACCCATTGATGATGTAGCGCGCCGAGGTCGAGTCACCCGAGTAGAGCATCCTCAGCACGCGAAGAAAGGTGGTAGGAGCGCCCAGAGCGTCGAAGATGGCAAAGATCCAGTCATGCTCGACGAGGTCGTAGGCGGATGATTGGTCAAGAGACAAGAGCGCGGCCGCGGGGAACTCGGTCCTGCGCGCGCCAAGTTCCTCGATCAGGAGACGAAGGTGTAGTGCAGTGTCGGCCGATCGGCGGTCCTTGACGAAGCCGTGCTGCTGCGGCGGGAGGAGATCGGGCAGAATTTGGTTCAATCGGGCGACGTAGACCTTGGTAAAAATCTTGTAATCGCACTCGCGCAGGGTGATGGGGCGATACGACGAGAGTTCGGCGCGATCGGCATTCTTCTTGTGGCGCTTGAAGATGAGGCGCACGAGTCCCTGGCCCTGCTTGGGAGAGAGTGAACCGCGCTCGATCATCGCGTTGTAGGCCTTGGTCAGCACCTTGGACCACGCCTCCGGTGCGGTCTGATAGAGTTCGTAAGGCACGCCCGACGGGCCCGGCGATCTCCCCGGGTGCGTCGTCCCGATCGCGGCCACGACCTCGTCCTCGGTGATGGGTTGCTGGAGGAGATCAATCTGCGCTTCCGAGAGTCGGTGCAGAAAGAGCGGATCTGAGCGCGGGTCGTCGCAAGTCCGTGCCGCCCTGATCGGCACGAGGAGTTCGTCCCGAAGTCGGTCGACGCGTTCCGGATCACGAGGCTCGATGTGGTAGAGGCGCTGGAAATGCGCCTGCGTGTGGTCAAGAGCGACATCAATGTCATGCGTTAGCTCTCCGTTGCCCAAGCGCAGTGCTGTGATCTTGGAGTCCGAGTTCCGCGCCGCAAGCTTGGCGTGGACCGGCCGCGACAGTCGTTCCTCGGAAGCGATCTCGGGGACGTGGGCTCGGATCCGGAGTAGGCGCGCGCGCTCCTCGACCGCCCGCTTGAGTTCCTCGGACGTCCTTGTCCATTCTGCCGTTTCCGCCTCCCCCCATACCGGTAACGCCTCCAGATCCTGCACCCTCCCCACCAAATACTCCATCCGTTCCGTCCACTCCCGATGCAGCCTCCTCGCCATCTCCCCACCCCTGTCCCTGCACGCCTCCAGAACCTCCTCAAGCTCTCGCACCGGATCCTCCCCGCTTGCCCCTTCCAACCATCCTTCCATCATCCGCTGAAATTCCACCGTCTTGAAGGTTGTGGTATTGATTCGATGTAGTTGGTCGGATGTGGTAGGTAGGCTGAGCTGTGGGAGAGCCGCATCAAGATCGTCTGAGAGAGCTAGTACGATCAAGACCGGTCGGTGATCGGAAAGATCCTTGGGATAGTCGTAGATCGTCGAGGCCTGGTCGAGCCTTTTTTGGTGAGCTCTTTGTAGGAGAAAGTAGTCAAGCCGGGAGAAGGAGTTGGGTCACTTGCGATTGGGATTAGGTCGAGTGAAAGATGGGGTGATGGGGTGCTTGTAGCGGATGCAGTCCGTGTAGGCCGAGTCGAGCTTGCCCATCAGAATCGGCCAGTGGTGGCCGCGCCTGGCAGGCAACGTCCTCTTCAGAAGACGTTGACTACACGCGGAGGAGGGGATCAGGCCGAAGGAAGGTCGACTGGGCGGGGGCAGGCGACCGAGGGACAACCGAGGAGGGGACGCGGTTGTGAGGCTCGCAGCAAGTCAAGTATATCGGACTTTATTGCCAACAAGATCGAAAACGAAGGATGAAGGTGAAGGGATCTTGGGAGATGTGGCGGACCAGGCTGAGTGGGAAGGTGCTAAAAACAAAAGGGAGGCACTCAGGCGCAGAGGGGACTTAGCCAATTCAGCTACTCCAAGAGGTCGCCTCAGGGGGAAAAAGGATTGCTCGCGGGAGCACCGGTAAAAACCCTGAGGCCGCGCCTCAGCTAACAAAAAGAACAAAAACCGAGAGAAGATTGCGCTCTGCGCGCCTTGAACCCGCGACCATTAAGTGCGCGCCCGCGCGCCGAACGACTACGCCATCACGCCCACAATGCTTGAATGGAGGGAAGCATTTGGTGACCTCAACTCTACCTGCACATTACCTCAGGGACTTCCTTCGAGTGTTGCTGTCAGTGTATCGCTGTTTGCCTGACATTGTCCCCCCCAGAAGGAAGTCTACCGGGAGGACAGGCGGCGATTTGAGCGATCGAGTTGTGCCAGGTAGGCGTCGAGTAGGGATGGATGGTCGAAGCGGAGGGACTGCTCTGACATCCAAGTGTCATCGATGTCCTTACGGCCAATCCATCGAACCAAGAACGAACGATTGCCCCGAGCGTTCCGACGATCGCGAACAATCCGTTCCGGAATGGCGGAGTTGTCGGCCGCGTCGGCTACATCTTCAACAAAAAGAACTGCGGGGTCACGCCCAGGGAACCTCTCAGCATCGTTCTCAACATAGGGGCGAAGCAGTCGAGCATGGAAGCGACTGTGCACTCGCGACATTGCTGGGGGAAGCTCGAGGTCGTAACTGGACGTCGCTGGAATGGCCGCTCGGATACGGAAAGGACCAATGTAGCGCGGCAACAACTTCGACTTCATCCCTTCAGGAACTGCCAGGTTCTTGGTCGAAAGATAGACATAACTGCCGGTCCGAAAGGCGGGATCATCCGGGCGTCGATGCTTGTTGGCCTGGTGAGTCTGATCGAGGCGTGCACCAATGATCGCATCCGTGACGTCGAGATTCCGTAACTGTCGGATTCGGGCAAACGCTTCCGCACGCGGGACGTCCGAGACAAACCAGGAATCGGTGGGCCAGCGTCGAGGAAGGTAACCGTAAGTCGCCTCGAAAGCCGACAGAGACGTGGAAACAGCAACGGAAGAGTTAAGAGCGAACTCAGCTTCAACAAGGCGAGATGCCCAAGCCTCGTGGTTTGACGACACCATGATGCGCAGGGTTTGGGTGACCATCTTGATTCGGTTCTCACTCGATCCGTCGGTCTCTGGGTGCGCCGCTGTTGACATCCGCAAGACGGTGCCGACCTTCGCCTGCAATGCTCGCCAAAACTGCGAGGTGAACTTGGGATCGCGATCGGAAACGATGGCGGAAGGCGTCCCATGCAGTCGAAAGATGGTGGCGTAGTACCTGTCGGCAACGAGCTCGGAGTCGGCGTCGGCTGGGAGGGGAATCAGGTGGACCATCTTGCCCCAAGTGTCAGTGACCACCATGATTTGAGCGACCATCATCCCTTCGAACTCGACCGGAGGCAGTCCCGTCATGAAGTCGATGGCCACTTGTTCCCATGGGCCAGAAGGGATCGGCATCGGATGCAGTCGGCCATAAGGGACTTGAGTGGACGCTTTGCCTCGGGCACAATCTTCGCATGAATGGCAGAACTTGGCGCAATCGGCAGACATGGACGACCACCAATACAAAGGACGTATGGCGGCCAAGGTGATGCGATGTCCCGCGTGCCCGACGCTCCGATGGATCTCCGAAAGCACGAGCTCGCGCAGCGATGGGAGCTTGTCGGAGTCGACAACGCCGGTAGCGAGACCGCGAGGCACAAACAGGGAAAGAGACTCATCTGGATGTACACGCAAGATCCTCCCTTCCTCGGTCACCCGAAACATCGGCCATGACAGCGGGTCGTCAACAATGACTTGGGCTTGCGAATCGTGGGCGTAGGCTCGGATGACGGCGTCGAGGAAAGGTTGCGGGCAGCGGGTCGGGCGGTCGATGGACTACAGGGGCGTCGTTGACCTCATCGGCGGCGGCTCCCAGTAAGTCGAGTTCATCGGCGTCGGCATCGACTGGAATGGGCGCGTCGTTGGCGGGGGCCGCGGCGATAGCATGAACTCGATTGACGGCGATGGGAGGAGAAAGGGGGCCGGTAGAAGAGTCGACGGCGTCCATAATGTTCTCGGCCAGACGATGGGAACCGGGAGAGCCTGCGTCGTAGCCGTGATCCCAGGGCCGAAGGCACAATCAACAGGGGGCAACCGATCGTGCGAAGGTGAGGTGTAAGGACGTTCCTCAGGGAGGCTCTCACCAGGTGTAGTGAACTCGTGGCATTCTTCCTTCAAGAACAAATTCCCTAAATCCCGTCCATTCACGTCCTCGTCTTGCGATTCGTCCTTGAGCGCGTAGTATCCGGGAGAGCCTGCCTCGCAATCGTCGCGTTGGGGCCCGAAGGCAAAATCAACAGGAGGCAACCGATCGGGAGATGGTGAGGTGTAAGGACGTTCCTCAGGGAGGCTCTCACCGTGTGTAGTGATCCGTGGCGTTCTCCATCAAAGAACATATCCTCCAACTCATTCTCCTTGACCTGATCCTCGGCGATCCCTCCTTGACTTCCACAAGCGTGACAACGAATCGGCAAGGGAGTTGTTCTTGCCCGCAATGAATTCGAATTCGAAGTCGAAACGGCTGAGTTCGAGACACATGCGGATGTGCCGGGGTGTTTGGCGTAACTTCTGCGTTTTAATCGTGCGAGGGCTTGGTGGTCGGTGACGATGACGAAGGGGTAACCGATCAAGTGCTGCTCGAACGCCCGACACGCCGGAAACGACGGCTAAGAACTCCTTATCAGTGACGTGATAATTGAGCTGAGCGCCATTGAACTTAGCGGAGAAGAATCGCGTAGGAATGGCTGCGAACGAGTGGGGCCCGAGCCAGGCAAGCGCCAATGCCAACACGACTGGCATCGGTGAACAAGTAGATTTTGTGCTCGCCGGAGGTGACCTTAGCGCCGTCGATCGGTCGCAGTGTTGCTGGCACGAGGGACTTGACGGTGTCGAAGGCCTGCTGCTCGCGCTCGTTCCAACGCCACGACGTCGATTGCGCTAATAATGCGGTGATGGGCTCCAAGGTGATCGAGAGGTGGGGCAGGTGATCTCGCATCCAATTCACGGTGCCGAGGAAACGCTGAACGTCGGTCTTGTTGTGTGGAGTCGGCCACTGTCGGATACGCTCCCACTTGGCCGGTTCGACCTCGATGCCGTCGTCGGAGATGATCGCGCCCAAGGAATCTAACGACTTTGAGAACCACTCGGATTTGTTGGATCCTAAGTAGAACCGATAATGTCGCAGTGTCATCGCAAAATCTCGATGTGTCTTAAGTGCGCGCGACGAGTATCGGAATGGACGTGAACATCGTCGAAAAAGATCTTGGCAAACGAGAGGCACGGCTGAAACATCGCCGATGTCAACAAGTTCAGGGTGTTGGGCGCATTGGTGTCCCCAAACTGCATCACCCGCGACGTGTACGTGCCCGTGACCGTGGCGAAGCCGGTGCGATCGACGTGCTGGGTATGACCGCACCTGCTCAACGCTGCGGCCACGTCGAATTTGGACGGTAGCGCGAACGTGCCACTTCGTAGCGAACACTGGTCATGTCGGGGATAGGTGAAAACGCTTGGCGGTGTTGCTGTTGCGAGCCGCGGAGGTCGATCACAAAGCGAGCGGTCTGGGAGTTCTTTTTCGGAATGGCGAAGACCGGAGCCGCAGAGTCGATCGGACCAGAAACCCAGAAGCGACCGCGAGTGTACTTAGCTGAATGCTCCGCCCACTGGCTACGATATTGTCGGCAAGGGATAGACCCTCGGCTTGACCTTCTCGTTGGGTCGATCAAAGGGATTTCGTGATTGACGGGTCGATAAGGCGGGAGTCGGTCCATTGGGAGCGAATCTACGAACACATCAGAGTATTTCTCGAGTAAGGCAGCCAATCGTGTTCGTGCTTCGGACTCAGACAAATCCTCGAGCGCCGGGTCGTCGACGACATCCAGCAGAGGGTTGTGCGGCTCGAGGCCAATGATCTCGTCGTCAGGAAGCAACCCTGGGTGATCGTAGCCAATGGCAGAGCCGGAGCAGATGGGCGCCACCGTGACTGCGCGATCCCACTCGTGAAGTGCCCTTGGCGACCGGCTGCGAAGGGCCCGGCCGTGCG